AAAACAGAAAATTGTTACTTCAAAATTATATTAAATATTTAGACAAAATTAGTATTCTTATCTAATACAAGATATATCGTCTTATAATGAATGTAAAAATGATAAATATCTTCTTTAGTGTAAAAGGTTATAAAAAATGACATTTTCTAGAGCTATTAAAAATGTGGAAGATTTATTCAGTATAATATTGTTGATATTATTTCTATATTTTGGTACACTCTTCGCATTCTATGGATTTTGGATAATAAACGTAATTAATTTTACAATAATTTTTGTTATATAATTTACTGTTTTATAAATAAGTTTCAAATACATAAAAGTAACGTCATATTTATGTTCCAATTGTAATCGCAACTTACATTTACACACCTTTACATGTTTTTTATTAACAATAATTATAAAAAGATAATTCTAAAATTTTCTTATTGTTAGTAATATTACCTAATATATTGCTACGACCCACTTGTGGTAGTATAAATACTTTGAAGCATTCTTTGATTAGTCAATAAATAAAATTCTTTTGAAATATTTGTAGTGTTAATTGGATAGCACTTATATTTTATATATGTATATCTTTAATAATAATGTGTAATCATAACATAACACATGTATTATAATATATATAATCTATCTTTAATAATAGAATAGCATAACATATACTATAATACGAAGAATAATATATTACATATACATCTTTTATATACATCTTTTGTAACATATATTTTAACTAATTGACTAGATGCTCGAAAGTAGACAGCACTTAACGGTCTTATACATGGCATATATTATATGCATCGTTATCAATATATTCGGTCACATGTGCATGTACTGCGCTGTTGGCGAAATATTAACAGCTCAGGTATAATTAAAATGCTTTACTTCCTTTATAATTTATCAATTATTATATTTTTCATGCACAATTGCAGTTTATAATTGTTGAATAAACTATCTTTTTTCGGTCTCTTTATTTCTGCAGGCTTGGTTATCTCAAATACTTTATCTTTAAACGCAGAGGAGAAGGTGGTATATTATGACCAATGGATATATTATGGCCTCCCTTAATATCTCTGCTATTATATAGCGAATCCTAATGATTACTTATGGAATTGTTAGTTCAGCAACTCGCCGTTGTACCATGGCGCTAATATTACCAATACTCAATAGCCAGCACTTATTATAACGAATTTTCACTTTCAAGTATTTCGAAACGTTTCTGAGGTACACTTTAGCATTTAATTACACCTACTTCCCCTCATTTTTCTTAAACTTGAGCGTATTATCACATTAATATATGTATTTTTGAGTGTGTTATTTGCTATTTAACATTTATTTGACTGTATACATTTTGAGTTATACAAATTTAAAACAATACCATGGCATTTTGCTAATGTGATCCTCTATGGATATTGATTATTCACGACATCATTTTTGAGATTTTCATATCAAAATAATTATTTGATAATCGACTGTAGCTCTACTGTTGATCTATAGTTTATATTACGTGTACTATTTTTAGTACTGAGATTTTTAGTACTGAGATTTTTAGTACTGAGTAGCTTTATGCAGAAGTTATGTGAATGTATATACATTCATTTGCATACATTTAAAAATGTTTTTTTTTTGTTAATTTTGTAACCAAATACTGTTTTCTAAACAAAACTAATATTTTAAGGCTATTTTTATGGAAGGCCACATTACCACCCATTTTTTTTCTTCGAGTCATTATGCAATGTCACATTTTTGTTAATAGTACCCTAAGTAATAAATATTTCGTAACTTTGAGTCCAGAATCGATTCAACAATATTTTAACAAATGTAATTGTCAAACTTAAATTGTTTTAAACTTAAATATTGATTATTAACAAAGTTATTGTGTAAAATGTAACTAGGGTGCCATAATATCTCTCACCTTCTCCTCTATATTTAATATTTGTATATCAAATAAAACTTATTTAACAAGTATATATTATGTACTCGTATGCGTGATAATTATACATACATAGGTCGTCTGAAAAGTTTTGAGCCTCAACATGAAGATGGCATTACTCGTCAAAACAATTTTGGTACTATAATCGTACATACTTTGAAAGATACCTGCGAAAATTGTAGCTACTTTCGGCGCTTAATTGTTGTTTGACAATCATTTGTGTCAGTCAATGTCAATGTTTTTGTAAAAATGTAAAAAATCGAATATCAGCAGTCGCTATGATAAAAATTCACGAATTGTGGTTCGAATTAATTGACCATCTACCGTATTCACCAGATCTGGCCCCCAGCGATTTTTTTCTGTTTTCTAGGCTCAAAGTTTGGCTCGGAAGACAGAAATTTTTCGAATGAGGTCATCGCATCCGTAGACGCCTATTTTGCAAAGTAAGACGCTCAGTATTATTTGAATGGATTAAAGGGGTGGGAACATCGCTGGAAAAAATGTATCGACTTAAAAGGAGACTATGTGGAAAAATAAAATTGAATTTGACCGAAAAATTACTTGTTTCTATGTTAGGCTCAAAACTTTTCAGACGATCCTCGTATATAAAAATCTTAAGCTGCAATTGTACTTAATATCCAAAGTTTAATTAGTTAGTATTAAAAAATCACATTTTAAAATTGCATGTAAATTTTTATATATGTACATACATTATATATTATATTATGCTATATACTTTTAATAATTCATATATGTACGTATTTTTTATGATTTTAAGTGTGACAGAATCCATTATGCTATATATTTCAATGAATGGTATACCTTGAATGCAAGAAATACTCGGGACCTAGTTCTTCTAATGTTAAAAACCAATAAATCTCTTCATCTAAACTTTGGTAAAATGTTTCCTTTAACGATGGCTACATTTTGCAGTGTAAGTTATCTAGAATTTAAGATTTTAGAGTACAAGTCTTTTTATGTATAAAAAAGTAAAGTCAATGTAAACACAAAAATACTTTGGAACATTTAAGTAAAACATCATAAAATACACATAAAAGAATAAAGAATTCCGTGTCAGTTATTCAACTGCAAAGAGATTCTCTGTAACATCTGATCAATGATTTTCCGCTGATTCAGATGTTTTAAATTCACAAATAATATTATAAAGATATAATTTTGACATGAATTGTTCTGTTTCTTTTAATATATTACAGGTCATTTTTATAATTATTGTTTAATTTTTGTCGCATATTATGTATTACTTCAATTACTTGTGCAACAGTTTAAACTTATTCATATGTTATATTTATTAACTATTTATAATATATCTAATATTTAATAATATGTATATATTATTATATGTATATATTATCATATAATTTTTCCTTAAAAATGTCTTTTATTTATTTATTATAATATTTTTGTAGCTGTTAAAAACGTCAGCCGGCTACATATCTATATTACTTGCAACAAAGAATCAATCAAACTTTTAAAATATGAATAATGCCAATAGTAATAAAAGTAGTATTAAAAATACAAATTCAATAATGATTTAACTGGAAAATGTTACATATTTAAAATATGTCATGTGAGATTACTGAAAAGCTGATTATATGCATTATGATTAAACTCAATACTTACATTTTTTGTTATTGACTGATTGTTCTGCTTAATGATAGAAACTATCAAATAATATAAAAAAGACAAAAAATTAGCTTGACTAATAACGGAAAAAGAAAGAAAGATAAGTATAATACATTTCGACAAAACATGAAATATTAGATCGAAGATAATAAGTAATGCATTAGGTAAATTAAGAAATATATAATTCAACGTTATTAAAAATTATATGTATATTTTTATTTTATATACAATTATAACATATGTTATAACTAATTTGATACTAGTAAAATAAAAATTGTGAGCATATATTTTGAGATAAACATGAAATATCTCGCAACCCTAATGAAAATTTTACCACTCATTTCTTGTTAATTAAATCTTAATATTTTGTATAGAATAATGAGATGAATTAATTGATGTAAAGAAAATATATTTCAAAAATATATACGTAGTTGCATATTGTAAACTGTACAATTTATTTTTTAAAGCAATAATGTATTTTTTTTATGTCAATCGATTCATCTCGCTGTTCTATGGATAAAAGTATTAAAGCAGAATTATCAAAAAATGAACAACTCAAGAAATATTTTATATTTCATAAGTAGGATAACTATAGGGATTCTCTCTAATTCGAGATCTCCCCGCTCCCCGCACCCTTCGCGGAGCTCGCGAATTAGAATCCCCATAGTTATCCTACTATCATTTATCGCTTTTAAAAACTTTTATTATGCACACATGCATGAATTATCGGTTAAATGAAAGTTAATGTCGTTCTATAAGGAGAAAGTAGATGTCAGTGGATAATGAAGAAACTGCAAGAAGCAATGAAATAATAGCTAGACTCTATGGTGATGGAATTCTATGATATTCTATGAGTAGACAGGAGCTCCGCTATGAAAAATTACTACGTTCGGAAAGTGAGTATATATGAAAGAATAAAATAAGCCTAATATCGTAAAATATGAAATAAAAATACCTATTTAGTGTACCCAATTTTTACAATAAAAGTAATATTACTCACAATTACTCACTAAGCAAGAAACGTTGCAAAGTTAAGGCAACGTCGTAACGTTATTGCAACGTTACTGATATGTTTTGTAACGTTTCTTGTTTACTAGTAGTCGTTATAAGACGACTATAGTTCAGACTATAGTTCAGACGCTTCAAAATCGATTACTGCGTGAAAACATGATTGCTACGTCTACATAACCTGCCGCATGAGCAACCAGTCATTATTTCAGATATTATTCATGAATGCTTTGAACGTTGTTGTACCAGTAATTATCAGCAGTTGCACAATAAGAAGGGACATATAGAATTTTTTAAACCTTCTGTCACTAAACATCTCGCGTTTTTAAGAATTTTTATTATGCACATGAAATATCGTCCCTCGTTGTATAGACATCGTTGTAAAAGAAACAGAGTCGTCAGTTCATCTCTTACCTTCAACATGGAAGCAAAATATCTTGCTCGGAGTCATAGTAGTTATGATTATAAATCATTATCAAAAAAAGGTCAGCTAAAATATATTTCGTCCAAAGTGGAACACATAATTTATCAAACCTTTTTTGAAACAGATTTCGAATGGGCAGTGAAGTTAAATCGATTTGGTCTAGAATTAATCGGACTTTGGCCCAACTCCGAACAAACTACATGGGAAAAACATGTGTGCAATTTACGTGTACTTCTCACTTTCTTATTGATAATATTTGTCCTTATGATTCCTGCTATACATTCTTTGATAAGAGTCCATTTTGACATTTTACTTGTGACAGATAATTTGATGAGTACCTTACCAATCATTACTTGCATCTTAAGACTTGTAATTTTTTGGTGGAAGAGAAAAGGTAAATAAAGTAGCAATTTGATCGTTACACGATCTAAATGTTTACAATGTACATTTTACCAGCATAATTAATCTCTATTTTTTTGTACAATTCTAAAATTAAATATTTCTTTATTTATATTGAATTTTAATTAGAGAAATCAAAAATAAAATAAGTTAGATTCATGTACCGCAGTTGTTATCAATTTATGTACAATAGTAATTGTTTATATTTTACATTTATTGCGTAAATGTAGAGTTACTGTTACAATTGCGGATTAATCACACATAACTTAAAAAAATGTTGTTTAATTAACTGGAAATAAAACTATTGTTTTTAAAAATTGTTGGTCATTGAATTCGAATTTGTAAAACTGAATTTGCTCTCTATCACATTTAGTTTTTTAAATAAATCAAGGAAAATAGCTAAAAATCTATAAAAAATGAAAAAAAACATTTGAAAAGAGCAAAAATACAACTTTTAAAAAATCTGCCACTATTTTTCTCGATTACCTAAAAAAAAGTGAATGTGATAGAGCAAAACAGTTTGAGGCCCCTGTATGCTCACTTCAGATATATTGAATCATGACGTTATAAGCAAGAAATGTGTCTAAGGATCTGAGCACAAGATTTGTCGTAACGGTCGTAACGCTTAGTTAGAGACTTAAGTTGTAGACGTAAGTAACGCACAAGCTTTGACATATATCTTCAAGAGACGGCAATAAGTCATACGCCATACGTCAAAGCTTGTTCGTTACTTACGTCTACAATTTAAGTCTCTAAGTAAGAGTTACGACCGTTACGACAATTCTTGTATTCAGACCCATAAGCGACACGTTGATTTTTCTTGCATGCCATTTATAAATAAAAACAATTTGAATAAAACGAAATAATGAGATCATTGTAAAACACTTGTAAAAATGAAACAAGGCTATCATTGTCCCCCATAATCAGTAAATAGTAAATAGTCATAAAAGGCATATAAAATGCTTTGTTTGCTGCTTCTTATTGTTCTAGGTTATTAATGTATTTCCGCAATGTTCTAATATTTAATTGAAATTAGATTTAATCAGAATCAAATTTTTATTATATTATATTTGTTATATATTTATTATAAATTTCTTAATATAGTATATTAGTAGTTAATATTTATTTTATTATATTATTATTAATTTCTTTATTTTTGTGTTCTTGAAGCTGTCGCACCGATAATACATTTGATTGCGAACGACTGGATAAAGACAACAACATCTCAAGAAAAAGGCATGATGATAGCAAAAGCGCAAATTGCACGCATTATTGTCACATTTGGATACGGCATGATGGGAGCGGCTATTACTGTTATGACTGTTTTGCCCATATTTGGTTACTCGGTGAGACACTTGTCTAATATTACCGCAGATCTGGAGAGACCACTCCCAATTCAGACATATTACATCTACGATACAACAAGAAGTCCACAATATGAATTGACATATGTTGTTCAAAGTATTGCATCATTTCTCTGTATCATGTGTTATACGGGCATAGACAATTTTCTTAGTCTTTCAGTATTTCATATTTCTGGTCAACTGGACATTCTGAGAAATCGTCTCTTGCATTTACATATTGTCGCCAATTTTAACAACGTTTTAAAGAGTTGTATAATGGAACATATAAGGCTACTTAGGTATATTTTGTCCTAAATACATATTCCTACATATGTACAATAAACTCCGGATTATCCAACAATGGTTTTTCATATCCCGGATTATCTGACCACGTTATCGAGTTCTCGTAATGATAGCGTTAAGCACTATTTTTTTTAGCATAGCACTACCGTGATGAGAACATCGACTCGATAATAAGATTAAATAATCCGGAAGATGAAAAAAACGCTGTCGGATAATCCGGATTCTACTGTATATGTATACAATATGTTTTAAGTGTTACGTATACAGTGTGTAACTAAAGTAATGCCCACTAATCATACAGTGCTATTCCTAATAAAAAACTAAGTCGAAAAGTCCTCTACCATTTTGCAATTTTCGTAATAGTCAACGAGATATTAATTTCTAAATATTGCCGAATAAACGGATAAAATCTATGTATAAGACAATTTTGAGATATCTTTCCGTATTCTTTGTGAAATATTTTATAGGTTTTTCCTAAAGAACTCTTAAAGATATTTTAAAGCTGTCTTATATAAGTCGATTTTAGACATTTTGCTCAATGGGTAACTAAAAAAAATGTTGCGAAAATTGCAAAATGGTAGAAAACTTTTCGTTTCAGTTTTTTATTAGAAATAGCACTATATGATTAGTGGGCGTTATTTTAGTTACACCCTGTATATGTAAGTAATATGTGAGCATCAAATAATTGAAAGAATATTAATTACAATATCAAATGTAAACAATTTTGTATATAAATTTTTGTATCGTAAATGAAAAGTGTACAAAAGAGATAATCGAATAATAAACGGAATTGAATGCGGTGCGCAAATTGGATATACTAGCTTTACTGCGCCGTGCCGTTAGGGGAAACGAATTGAAATTATTTTGAAAAAATCTGCCAGTAACGTATAATTATCTAATTACAAATTGACTGATTTTTTTGCTGATGAAGTTTTGTGTGTCTATAAACAATTTCAGTGATTTCTATAGTAATTGATATGAAATTAAGAATAGAGAGGGGGTATAAAATTTTGTTACCATTTGAGAAAATTTATATTATTGAAACTGTTTTCTCGAAATTTTTATGTAACAACACGAAATATTATAACGACATTACAGTAATATTACTTTGAAAGATCACTTTAATATTTCCAATAAAATATTAAAGTTTCAATATTGCAGCAATATTGCTGTAATATTTTGTGCTGTAGGAGAAGTTTTATTGAACGCAAATGTACCAAAGGGAATCACAGGTTCTTCAATGGAACGAAAAAAATAACCAGAATTGATTAAAAAAATGTTTGATTATATTTTACTTAAAACTGTCTCTCTTAAAAATTTCTTCAAACAATAAAATATTCATAATTTGAATTGTAGAATCGAAAGAAAATAAAACTTCACGTGACGCTCTCTGACGTTGTCTTTTATCAGTCATTACGAAAATTGCCGAATCTTTCTACAAATTCATACAAAAGAAATCAACAGCAAAAAATCAATTAACCCAGAACCACGCCACTTAGCAAACTTTTTCAAAATAGTTTCGATTTGCAACTCCTTACAGTACTTAAGCTACTATATATACGTCCAATTCACACGCCGATTCAAATTCTGATTTTTTTTATCTGTTCTGATGTAGAGTTTATATCTAGTTTAATCTAATTAAATGATGAATATGTAGTATTTTATGAACAATTATGATATTAAATTATATTTTGTATCAAAATAGAAAATTGTTGCTTCGAAATCATATTATAGATTTAAACAAAATTAATATTCTTATCTAATAATATAAAATATCTTCTTATAGATGTATGTAAACATGATAGTTATCTTCTTTAGTATAGAGTGTTATATAAAATGACATTTTATAGAGCTATTAATCATGTGGAAGATATATTCAGTATAATATTGCTGATAATATTTCTATTTTTTGGTATACTCTTCGCTTTCTATGGATTTTGGATAATAAACGTAATTAATTTTAAAAGAATTTTTGTTATACAATTTACTGCTTTATAAGTAAATAGTTTTCATGTACATAAAAATAACGTTATATTTATGTTCCAAATGTAATCGCAACTTACATTTACACACTTTTTACATGTTTTTTTATTAACTAGAATCGTAAAATGACAATTCTAAAATTTTCTTATTGATATAGTCCTATATTTAAGAAAATTTTGGAATTGAAATAACCATAATAATACAAACCAGAGAATTCCATATTTAATATTAACATAATAGATACAATTATATAAACTATATTAATATATAGCTTATAATAATTTTTATAAGAAATTCACCTCACGATGTAGAGAAAAGTGGGTGAATTGTACGCACCTAAGAGTCACCTAAGGGAAATTTATTGTCCTGGAATGGTTTTCCAAGTTCAAAGCGATATAAGTATAGAAATAGAAACTATAAACATTCTTCTACCATTACGTATCCTCATATTTAATAGATTTTCATTCAATAAGGTTATATTTAGCAAAAAGGAAAAAACGGAAAAACGAAGAAATTTCTCGCGCGTCGGATAATTGTGCGCATGGGTTGGGTAATTGTGCGCAAAGCATATATACATATTATATATATTAAACAAAAATACAAAACTAATATAATAATAATGCAAATAGACTTTGACAAATTAAAATGGCAAAATAAAATAATAATGCAAAGAAAAAACAAAAAAATTAGTGCTAGTCATATATGATATATGAAAAATGGGTAATTGGGTGCATTTTAAAATGCTTGCGCACAGTTGCCCGCCGCGACCCGACTCGATATGAAATACAATTACTTCAACATTTCTTAACCAAACTTAATAAATAACAGCTCAAAAGACGCACATAATAACATACTTTAATAACGTATGCAACTTTAAACAAATTAAAAATACGGACTTATCACCTTATTTTCTAAAATAACAAGAAAAGATATGATTTTACTTTTTTATATTTCTCTGAGTAGCAACATATTTACGTCGTATCTTTTGTAGTTATATCTTAAGAGGACGACCTCCTGCGTAAAAATTTCACCACAGTGATGTCGTCATCCATTGGAAAAGTACCAAATCAGGATGCGCACAATTTCCCCACTTTCTCTAAAAAGTAAAATTCTTCTGAAACATTTGTACTGTTAATTACACCGCACTTATACATGTATATCTTTAATAATAACATATGTAATTATACATGTTAATATATCATAATATATGTAATCTACCTTCAATAATAATATAAAATATGCAATAATACTAAGAATAATATATTATTACATCTTTTATAACATATATTTTAACTAATTGACTAGATGCTCGAAAGTAGACAGCATTTAACGTTCTTAAACTTGATTTATTTTGTCGTCGTTCTGGATACATTCAGTCACATGTGCATGTACTGCGCTGTTGGAGAAATATTGACAACTCAGGTACAAATAAAAAAAAATTTTTTACTTCCTACCAATTATTATATTTTTCCATGCACAATTGCATATTATGATAGATGTATTTCAAAATGAGGAATAGTAGTAGTACACCTAGAAATAGTAGTATTACACACAAAAAGCAAAATGTTCAATCAAAAAGCAGAATGATGACAGAAAGAGACAGAGAGAGAGAGATTGGTAGCAAATTATTTGATCAGAATTAGAGGTCAGCAGATTGACTGATATCGTATTCTGCTCCACTTCTGTCGGTAGCATTTTTTGAAAATTCTATTTCAACAGATTGTGACGGAAATCAAACAGAATGTTTGTTAACATTCTACGCCAAGAGATTGACAGAAACCGAGCAAGATTTGCTGAGAAAATTTGACGGCAAATTGGTAGCAGAAACCAATCAGTATCTATGCAATACAATCTGATACAAACTAATAGCAGAAATGGAGCAGATCCTGCTATTTAGTAGGTATTAAAATTGTAACATTATTACTACAGAAAAATTTCTCAAAATAACGTTCTATTACCTACATTTTTTCTATTTTGAAGAAATAATTTTAAATAATTTCATTAATAAATTAAATATATTGATTTTACGCAGAAAAAAAGTTTGCAGATTTTAAATAAATATTTACTCCAATATAGTATTAACGAAATATTTACTAAATGGAAACATATATTTATTTGATTTAACTGTTTTATTTTGAATAAATATTTATTTACTATAAATAAATATTTCGTTAGTACTATTGGAGTAAATATTTATTTAGAGTCTGCAAATTTTTTTTTCAGTGTACATATAAAAGCTTAAATATATACATATAAATAGGTATATGCACTATTAAGTCTATAGTGTCAAATTTAACCAGTTAGCTGTATACAGGGTAAATAAAATAACGCCCACTAAATATATAATGCTATTTCTAATAAAAAAACTAACAAGGGAAATTTCACAATTGTCCGGAACCGATTTGATTCTCCATGAAATGTGTTATTAAACACGAAAATCTAAGAGACACGTATTTTTTTATACGTGCCCTAATTCATGTTTAAGGGGTGAAACACCTCTTTGAAAAAAAAAATAGTATTTTTCTTTCGAGACGAATATCATCGGAAGTATAAAAGATAGAAAAAAATTTTTTAAACAAAAGTTGTACGGTTTCAAGAGTACTTCAATGTTGTGAAGAAGAAAAAATTTTCTTAATTTTTTGTTAAACAATTGTTAAACAAAAAAATTTTTTTTAATTCTTAAATAGCTACTATAGATATTACAGTACGTTCAAATAATGTTCTTGGGACGTTTTTTAGACGTCCAACATACAGCAATAAAAAAGAGATATTTCGTACGTCCAAAGACGTCGAATTAGTTTGAGTAACAAGAATGTCAACTCACGTGTTGTCGTCAAAATAGAAGCAGAAAGCGAAATCAATTCAGGTTAGTCTGCTAACATTCTCCGATCAAATCTGCTCTCCAATCAATCTGCAGGTCAGGCTGCCGACATTCCATTAACATTTTGTTTATAAAACAGTCTCTGTTTGAAATTTGCCTTTCTGGTATCAAAAATCATATAGCAGACTTTCTTCAAAATTTGTTTCTGCAGGCTATCTGAGATAATTTAACGTACATTTATATATCAAATATAACACAATATACATCAAATGAAACTTATATTAACAAGTATATATTATACAATGTGTGTGATAATTATACATACATAAAAGTCTTAAGCTACAATTGTAATCTCAATAGCCAAAGTTAATAAAAAAAATCACATTTTAAAATTGCATGTAAATTTTCATATATGTACATTATTATATAGCACGCTATTTTAATAATTCACATATGTATGTATTTTTTATAATTTTAAGTGTGACAGAATCCATTATGCTATATATTTCAATGAATGGTATACTTTGAATGCAAGAAATACTCGGGACTTAGTTCTTTTAATGTTAAGAACCAGTAAACCTCTTTACCTAAACTTTGGTAAACTATTTCCTTTAACGATGGGTACATTTTGCAGTGTAAGTTATCTCGAATTTTAAATATGATTTTAGAGTACAACAAAATATTCTCTTTACATGTGTACATGTGTACATAAAGTAAAGTCAATGTAAACACAATAATACTTCAGAGCGTTTAAGTAAAAACATCATAAAATACATAAAAGAATTAAAAATTTCGTGTTAGCTATTCAACTGCTAAAGGGATGCTTTATAACATCTGATCAATGATTTTTCACTTATACAAATGTTTTAAATGCACAAATGATTATAAAGGTATAGTTTTGATATTTGTTGCTTTATTTCCTTTAATATATTACAGGTCGTCATTGTAATTATCACATAATTTGTACACATATAATCTATTGTTTTTAAACTTGTTCATATATTATATTTCTTATAAACTATTTATAATATTATATATTTAATATTTAATAATATATGTATATATTATTATGTGTATATGTATATTTTCATCGTTTTTCCTTAAAAATGTCTTTCATTTACTTATTACTGTATTTTCTGTAGCTGTTAAAAACGTCAGCCGGTTACATATCTGTATTACTTACAACAAGGAGTCAATCAAAGTTTTAAAATATAAATAACGCACAAATTAATATTAACAATACAAATTCAATAATGATTTAACCGGAATTAATCAGAAAATATTAACTAATTGAAAGTATGTCATGTAAGATATCTGAAATGTTTATGTAGAATGATTATATGCATTATGAATAAACTCAATACTTATTTTCTACTGCTAATGTAATATACTGACTAATTGTTCCCCTTATTGATAGAAATCATCAAATAATAAAAAAAAGACAAAAATTAACTTGAACAATGACGAGAAAAGAAATGAAAGTAAGTATAAGACATCACGAGGAAACTGTCGCATGCAATATCAGATTGAAGATAATAAGTAATGTATTAAATAAATTTAAAAATATAAAATCTAATATTTTATTAAAGATTATATATTTTTATTTTATATACAGTTATAACATGTCTTATATTTAATTTGATAGCAATAAAATAAAAATTGTAAGCACGCATATTTAGACATAAACATGAAATATCTCGCAAACTTAATAAAAATTTTACCATCACTTCTTGTTAATTAAACATTAATATTTTATATAGAATAATGAGATGAATTAATTGATGTAAAGAAAATACATATTTCAAAAAATATACGTAGTTGAAAATATTGTAAATTGCACAACTTTTTTTTAAAGCAATAATGTATTTTCTTTACGTCAATTGATTCATCTCGCTGTTCCATAGATAAAAGCATCAAGGTAGAATTATCGAAAAATGAACAATTCTTGAAATTTTATTTCATACTAAAATGTGTCTAAATATAAAGTATAAAATATCTCGCATTGATTTTTTTATAATTTTTTATCTTAATACCTTTATATGCAGAATATAATTAGAGGAATCATATTACGTAAAATAAGTTCTATAATTTCATTTTTAAAATAGCCGTGAGCTTCATATAAAAAAATATCTTTTGGAAAATTAATTTTATTTGTCCTTCTTCAAATCATAAAATTTTATCTAAAACAATTTTACCTACCGGATATAGATTTCAACATATTCTGGTGATTTATGTTCTCTATCCTGTATATTTAAACATAACTTTTTGAGGAAAGATTTTGTTAAAGGAATATTTGTATAAAGTAACTTTAGATAGTTTATACATTCAAAAAAATTTAATGTTTTATCAATAAAGCCAAATTATTAATCACGACAGATAGTTATTCCTCTACTGTTAACATAATAATTGAGAAAAAATTAATTAATCTTCATTATTTATTTATCAAATAGGTCATAAAGATAAGAAAATTATAACTATCAGTTATATTCTCTACAATCTAGGAAATATCACAATGTTATATTAATTTCAATCCTGCAGTTAGATAGATCGAATAAACACTTTAATTGAAATAAAAATATTATATACAAATTATTGCTCACTATATATATATACAACACAAAAACAAAAAATATAATTCAGATCACACGCAATACCCAAAATCAATTACAAGACCGTGAGAACTTAACAGAAAGATAAAAACAGGTTGCGAACAGGCATTTAACAACCCGTCGTTGTTATGTCAGTATTTATCTGCTTCAAATATTGCACACACGAAATACTAACATAACTTCTATAACAGGAAGGTTTTAAAATTTTTTAAGTCCATCCTCTTTACGCAATAATCATCTATCACTTTTAAAAACTTTTATTATACACACATGCATGAATTATCGATTAAATGAAAGTTAATGTCGTTCTATAAGCAAAAAGTAGGTGTCAGTGGATAATAAAGAAACTGCAAGGAGCAATGAAGTAATAGATAGACTTTATGATGGTGGAATTCTGTGATATGTTTATCATAGATATGAGGAACTCTGATATGAAAAATGTCTACATTCGGAAAGTGAGTATATGAAAGAGTAAAATAGGCCTTTATATCGTAAAATACGAAATAAAAATACCTATTTACTGTACTTAATTTTTACAATAAAAGTAATATTACTCACAATTGGTCGTTACAAGATGAGTATAGTCCAGACTATAGACACCTCTCTCTCTCTGTCTTTCTCAAAATCGATTACGACTGCGTAAGAACATGACTGCTACATCTACATAACCAGCCGCATGACCAACTACTTATCAAGCATCAAGTAGTCATTATTTCAGTTATTATTCATGAATGCTTTAGACGTTATTGTACTAGTAATTCTCCACAGTTGCACAACAAGAAGGGATCACATGTAGAATTTTTTAAACTTTCTGTCACTAAACATCTCACGTTTTCAAGGATTTTTATTATGCACATGAAATATCGTCCCTCGTTGTATAGACATCGTTGTAAAAGAAACAGAGTCGTCAGTTCATCTCTTACCTTCAACATGGAAGCAAAATATCTTGCTCGGAGTCATAGTAGTTATGATTATAAATCATTATCAAAAAAAGGTCAGCTAAAATATATTTCGTCCAAAGTGGAACACATAATTTATCAAATCTTTTTTGAAACAGATTTCGAATGGGCAGTGAAGTTAAATCGATTTGGTCTAGAATTAATCGGACTTTGGCCCAAGTTCGAACAAACTACATGGGAAAAGCGTGTGTGCAATTTACGTGTACTTCTCACATTCTCATTAATAATATTTCCTGCTGTACATTCTCTGATAAGAATCCATTTTGACATTTTGCTTGTGGCAGATAATTTGATGTGTACTTTACCAGTTTCTACTTGCCTCTTAAGACTTATAATTTTTTGGTGGAAGAGAAAAGGTAGATAAAGTAACAATTTGATCGTTACACGATCAAATTATATAAAATGTTTACAATAAACGTTTTATATATTAGCCTAATTAATCTCTATATTTTTTGTACAATTTTAAAATGAATTAAAGGTTTATTTAGTTATATTGAATTTTAGAAATCAAAGTACAAAAAAAATTAAATTCATATACTGCATGTTATTGATGTACAATAGTAATTGTTTATATTTTATATTTTGCATACATATAGTTACTATTACAATTGCGGACTTTATCATACATAACTACAAAAAAATTTTTTTAAATTAACTGTGACTCAAAATCCATAAGAAACACCTATTCTGGTTTCAGTTAATTTTCAAAAAAATTTGTTGTCGTCCTAAATTATTAATGTATTTTCGCAATTTTATAATATTTAATTAAATTAAATTTAATCAGAATCAAATTTTTATAAATTATATTAAAATCTCGTTTTATTTATTATAAATTTATTAATACCTACCTGTATATCAGTAATTAACACTTATTTTATTATAGTATATTAGTAAATTCTTTATTTTTGTATTCTTAAAGCTGTCGCACAAATAATACATTTGATTGCGAACGATTGGACAAAGACAATAACATCTCAAGAAAAAGCAATAATGATAGCAAAAGCGCAAATTGCACGCATTATTGTCACATTTGGATACGGCATGATGGGAGCGGCCATTATTGTTATGCTTATTTTGCCTATATTTGGTTATTCGGTGAGACACCTGTCTAATGTTACTGAAGATCTGGAGAAACCACTCTCATTGCAGACATATTACATCTACAATACGAGAAAAAGTCCACAATATGAATTGACATATGCTGCTCAATGTATTGTCTTATTCTTATGTACCATGTGTTATACAGGCATAGATAACTTTCTTAGTCTTTCGATATTTCATATTTCTGGTCAACTGGACATTCTGAGAAATCGTCTCTTGCATTTACATATTGTCGCCAATTTTAACAACGTTTTAAAGAGTTGTATAATGGATCATACAAGGCTGCTTAGGTATATTTTTTTTATCCTATATACATTCCTATATATGTACAACAGAATCCGGATTATCCGACATTGCTTTTTTCATCTCCCTGATTATCCGACCACGAATTATCGAAATAATAGCATAATAAGCGATTTTTGTAGCATAACACTATCGTCATGAGAACATCGATAATGATAAGGTCAGATAATCCGGGAGATCAAAAAGACACTGTCGAATTATCCGGGTTCTACTGTATACATGTGTATTTATAGTGTAACGTAAATACGTAATATGTGAAGTAATATGTGAAGAATAATTGAAAGAATATTAATTACAATATTAAATGTAAATAATTTTGTATCTAAATAAATTTTTGTATCATAAATAAAATTATTGCTATATTTAAATAAAAAATGTATAAGAGAGAGAATAATAAATAATAAACGAAATTGAATGCGCAAATATTTTGGATATAAATAGCTTTGTTGCGCCGTTAGAGGATACGAATTGAAATTATTTGGAAAAAGTTTGCCAGTAGTGTATAGTTATGTAGTTACAATTTAACTGATTTCTTTGCTACCGAATTGTTTTGTGTCTGTAAACAATTTCGGTGATTTCTGTAGTAACTGATAAGAAAAGGACAGAAAGCGGACATAAAATTTTGTTATCTTTTAAAGAAATTTATATTACTGAAACAGATTTTCGAAAAATTTTTATGAAATACAACAACACGAAATATTACAGTAACATTACTTTGAAAGCAGCAATATTACTTTGAGAAAGATTAGAATATTTCCAATAAAATATTAATGTTTCAATATTGCAGTAATATTGCTGTAATATTTTATGCTGTAGGAGAAGTTTTGTTGAACGCAAATGTATCCAAGAGAATCCCAAGTTCTTCAATGGAACAGAAAAAAAACAATGATTTTTTGTCAAAAAAAGATTTAATTATATTTTACTTAAATCTGTTAAAAATTACTTAAATCTCTTAAACATTCTCTAAGCATTAAAATATTCATTATTTGAACCGCAGAACCAAAGAAAAATAAAACTTCACGACATTCTCTGACATTGTCTTTTATCAATCATTACGAAATTATCGACCCTTTTTACAAACTCATACAAAAAAAGTCAACAGCAAAAAATTAATTAACCCAGAACCACGCCACTTGGCAAACTTTTCCAAAATAGTTTTGATTTGCAACTCCTAACAGTACTTAAGCTATTATATATACATCCAATTCACACGCCGATTCAAATTCTGATTGTTTTTATGCTCTAATGTAATGTTTATATCTGCTTTAATCTAGTTAAATGATGAATACGTAATATTTTATGAACAATTATGATATTAAATTATATTTCGTATCAAAACAGAAAATTGTTGCTTCGAAATCATATTATAGATTTAAACAAAATTAATATTCTTATCTAATAATATAAAATATCTTCTTATAGATGTATGTAAACATGATAGTTATCTTCTTTAGTATAAAGTGTTATATAAAATGACATTTTATAGAGCTATTAATCATGTGGAAGATATATTCAATTTAATATTGCTGATACTATTTCTATGTTTTGGTACACTCTTCGCTTTCTATGGATTGTGGATAATAAATGTAATTAATTTTATAAAAATTTTTATTATACAATTTATTGCTTTATAAATAGTTTTCATATACGTTAAAAATATTTATGTTCCATTGGTAATCGCAAGTTATATTTATATACCTTTTTATGTTTTTTTTTTGTAAAAAGAACTGTAAAATGACAATTTAAAAATTTTTTTATTCATATTTATTTGAGAAGACTTTAAAATTAAAATAATCATAATAATGCACATGAGAGGATTCCGTATTTAATATTTACATAATATAGATATATTAGGTGTTGGAATTAATTCGTAGCGTTTTTTTAATGAAAGAACGTTATTTATTTCACATGAACATTAAAAAATACATTAATTGAAGTACTTCCCATCACTTTCTACTACTTTTGTCCATCTTTCGGGCAGTGAATGAATACCGCGTCGGAAGAACTGTTCGTCTTTTGATGAAATCCACGAACCATTTTGCACAATCTTCGTAAGATGTGAACTTCTGCTCGCACAAGCTATGAGCTAATGATCGAAACAAGTGGTAGTCGCTAGGTGCAATATCAGGAGAATACGGCGGGTGCGGTAGCACTTCCCATTTAAGTGTTTCCAGGTATGTTTTTACCTGTTTTGCAACGTGTGGGCGAGCATTGTCGTGCAGCAAGATGACTTTATCGTGTCTTTCGAAGTATTCCGACCGTTTTTGCTTCAATGCACGGCTCAAGCGCATCAGTTGCCGTCGGTAGAGATCTCCAGTAACGGTTTCATGCGGTTTTAGCAGTTCGTAGTATATGACACCCTTTTGATCCCACCAAATACAGAGCAGGAGCTTTGAGCCATGGATATTGGGCTTTGCCACTGATGTTGATGGTTCGCCGGGCTTAACCCATGACTTTCTGCGCTTTGGATTGTCATAATGGATCCACTTTTCGTCACCGGTAACAATCCGATGCAAAAAACCTTTTCTTTTCTGCCGTTGAAGCAGCAGTTCGCACGTGAGAAAACGTCTCTCAATATCCCTTGGTTTCAATTCATATGGGACCCAATGTCCTTCCTTCTGGATCATGCCCAAACTTTTAAGACGTTTTCCTATTGTTGATAAGTCAACTTCCAATGACGTAGATAATTCTTTAAGTGTTTGACATGAGTTTTCATTGAGCAATGCCTGCAAATCGTTATCTTCAAATTTTTTCGGCTGACCAGGTCGCTCCTTGTCATCCAAGTCGAAATCACCAGCTTTAAAACGTGTAAACCACTTCCTACACGTTTGCTCAGCCAGAGCATGTTCACTATACACATCCACTAAAATACGATGAGCTTCAGCTGCACTTTTGTTCATATTAAAGTAATGAAGCAAAACTCCCCGCAAAAACACTTTATCTGGCACAAATTTTGACATATTCAATGAATTATACAGTGTTGTTATTTATGATTTCAAGAAAGGTTATGTACGGCAAATGACGTCCTATGATAGCTGTTTACAATATATACAGAACTATAGGTAACAACGAAATAGTGTACTGCTTGTGCCATCTCTTGTAAAACGCTACGAATTAATTCCAACACCTAATATATATATAATTATATAAGCTATATTAATGTACAGGATGTCCCATTTTAAACGACGACCTCATATATTTCTTGAATAGTGTAGAGAAAAATACTTCATGACTTCGAGGGGAATATATGATGGTACCATTGGTTTGACCTTGAGTGGCGTTGTCAAGGTCCGTATAAGGTGATTTAAAATTTTTTTTAATGGATCCCCATATTTTTTATTACATATTTTTGTAACTTACCTCGAAAGCTTTTCAAAACACTATAATAAAATATTTTTTCATTAAGTACTTTTCGAGTTATAAGGCTTGAAAATTACAGTACTGTCGGCATTAGCGTTACCCAAGGTGTCCGACCGATGACCTCTTAAATGTTGTTCATGACCTGAATAATATTTGTCAAGGTCAAGGCTACTGGAGGTTGTACCTCTTATTTTCATCTTTTCACTGAAAATTCATTTTTACGTAAAAATGAAAATAAGAGATACAATCCAGTAACCTTGATCATAATAAATTTTATCCAAGTCATGATCCTGGACAATGTTTAGGAGATTTTAGTTGTTGGTCAGACACTTTGGATAATGCTAATATATATGGTGTTGCAATAAAATTTGGTGAATATTCTTATATTCAGTTTGTAAACGCATGCAGCAAGTTGCGGCATCGTACTTGTTATAGATTAGCGAATCTAGACACACATTTCAGCGTGTTGCACGCCTGCCCTTAACGGACGCACAGCTATATTCAAGCGTAGACTAGTAACGAAGGAGCATATGTTCATTAATGAAAATGGAACAAAGAGCTAATTAAGTTCTGTTTTAAATTAGTTAATTAAGTACGATGCCGCAACTTGCTGCATGCGTTTACAAATATAGGAATACTCATCGAATTTTATTACCATACCGTGTATGCCGACAGTACTGTAACTTTCATACCTTATAATTCAAAAAGTACTTAATGAAAAAATATTTTATTATAGTGTTTTGAAAAGCTCTCAAAATAAACTAATATGTATTATAATACTAAGAGTATTATGTAATGAAAATAGGGGGTTCCACTTAAAAAATTCAAAGTGACGTTGTCCTGACCTTGACAACGCCACTCAAGGTCAAACCAATGGTATCTTCTTATACTCTCTTGAAACTTTTATTCGAAATATTTTTCTCTAAAATGCACTGTTTAAGAGATATTTGAAGTTATCATTTAAAATGGAACACCTTGTATGTATATCTTTAATAATAACATATGTAATCGTAATATATGTCAATAGTCAATATATTATAATATATGTAAGTAATCTATATTTTTAATAATAGCATAACATATCGACGCCTAAGCCGCAGAATGTGCTATATCGAAAGATATATAGAGGCTGCGGTCCACTTGCTTCTTTCAAATGCTCTGAACGCTACGTTCCAAACGCTATGCTCCGATTGGTCCATTACTGTCCCGAATGCTACAATTGCTACTTGAACACTCCAGTCAACCCACCTCCCGAGGTGAGGTAGTGAGAGCGAAAACGATGACGTATTGATGACGTAATCAGGGTTGCTGGGAATGTTCCGAAGCGTCAAATGGACCAGTCATGTTAGTGCTACAAATGCTATGTAGCATTTGAAGCGCTAAGTGGACCGCAGCCAGAGAGTGCTATATAGAGAGATAAACAGTGTTATATCGAGAAAAACATGAAGAAAAGTCTATGTCAAAAAAATAATTAAAAGTGGTCTATTTCGCGTGAGGCGTAAGATCAGTCTATGTCGGAATGCATGCAAAGTACGATTTATATGAAAAAAAACTTGAAGCACAGTTTAAGTCGTATGAAATTGAAGAAGAGTCTATATAGCGCAATATTTACTACTCACAAATTATACAAATTTAGTTACAGAAAATTAAATAATATGAATAAATAAAGTACCAGAAGCAGGATTAAAAATCAAGCCGATTCCCGTCCTCAGTCATATTATAAAATTTATGAGAAGAAAATATTGCGCTATATAGAACCTTCTTTAATTTTATGCGACTTGAACCGTTCTTCTCGCTTTTCTCGATATAAATCGTATGTGCTTCGACATACGATTTATATCGAGATAGACCGGTTTTCATGCCTCGCACGAAATAAATCGTTTTTCATTAATATCTTGATATAGACTTTTCTTCATGTTTTTCTCGATATAGCACTTTCTATTCAGGCGTCGATATGCTATAACTATAATACTAATAATAACATATTACATCTTTTATAACGTACATTTTAACTAATTGACTAGATACTCGAAAGTAGCCAGCACTTATCGTTATTAAACTTGGCATATGTTGTAAGCATCGTTACCAATATATTCGGTCACATGTGTATGTACTGCGCTGTTGGCGAAATATTAACAGCTCAGGTATAATTAAAATTCTTTACTTCCTATCAATTATTATATTTTTCCATGCACAATTGCAGATTATAATAAATGTATTCTAAAATCAGAAATAATAGTAGTATTATACTCAAAAAGCGAATGTTAGCAGAATGTCAACAAATTGATAGCAAAGATCAGAATTAGATATTAGCAAATTGACGTCAACTGATGTCGCATTCTGTTCCCGTTCTGTCGACAGCATATTTTTTGAATATTCTATGTTAACAGACTGTGACAAAAATCAAACTGAACGCTTGTTAACATTCTACGCCAGCAGATTGGCAACAGAAACCGAGCAAGATCTGCTGAGAGAATTTGACGGCAAATTGGTAGCAGAAACCGAGCAGTATCTGCGCAACACAATTTGGCAAACTAATAGCAGATATGGAGCAGAGCCTGTTTTATAGGTATTAAAATTGTAACGTTATTACTATGGAAAAATTTCTCAAAATAACGTTCCTATTACCCACATTTTTTCTATTTTGAGGAAATAATTTTAAATAACTTTATTAATACATTAAATATTTTACATATTAAAGCTTGAATATACAAATAAATACATACACTGTTAAATCCAGTGTTAAATTTAATTTAATTTAAGTCGCCACTGCTCCTACTAATTGTAAGTACATCGTTATTTTATACTAAAACGATAGTTAAATTTGACACTATATCCTGTCAATTTAACACTCTATACTAGTATGCACATACCTAAAATGTCTATGTAAATAGGACATTCAAATAACGTTCTTGGGGCGTATTTTAAACGTCCAACATACAGTGATGAAAACGAGATATTTCTAGACATATTTTAAATGTCCAAAGACATCGAATTAATTTGGATAACAAGAATATTAACTCACGTGCTGTTGTCAAAACGGAAGCAGAAAGCGAAATCAGTTCAGGTTAGTTCGCTAATATCCTCCGATCAAATCTGCCGACATTCTGCTAACATTTTGTTTATAAGTTTACAGTCTCTGCTTGAAATCTTCCTTTCTCGCATCAGAAATTATATAGCAGACTCTACTCAAAATTTGTTTCTGCAATCTATCTGAGATAATTTATATATCAAATATAACATAATATATAACAAATGAAACTTATATTAACAAATATATATTATACAATGTGTGTGATAATTATACATACATAAAAGTTTTAAGCTGCAATTGTAATTTCAATAGCCAAAGTTTAATTGGTTAATAAAAAATGGTTAATAAAAACATCACATTTTTTAAAATTGCATGTAAATTTTCATATATGTACATTATTATATAGCACGCCATTTTAATAATTCATATATGTATGTATTTTTTATGATTTTAAGTGTGACAGAATCCACTATGCTGCATATTTCAATGAATGGTATACTTTGAATGCAAGAGATACTCGGGACTTAGTTCTTATAATGTTAAGAACCAATAAGCCTCTTCACCTTAATTTTGGTAAACTGTTTCCTTTATCGATGGCTACATTTTGCAGTGTAAGTTATCTCGAATTTTAAATATGATTTTAGAGTACAAGATAGTCTTTTTATATGTATACCAAGTAAAGTCAATGTAAATACAAAAATACTTTAGAGCGTTTAAGTATTATAAAAACATCATATATAAAATACATAAATAATAAAGAATTTCATGTCAAAACTATTTAACTGCTAAAGAGATTCTTTGTAAAATCTAATCATTGATTTTCCACTGACTCAGATGTTTTAAATTCACAAAAGATTACAGAGATATAATTTTGACACGCGAATTGTTTTATTTCTTTTAATATATAATATTACAGATTATTTTTGTAATTATCACTTAATTTGTACGCATATGATGTATTGCTTGTAGTTTAAGCTTGTTTATATATCATATTTTTTATAAACTATTTATAATATATCTAATATTTAATAATATATGTATATATTATTATGTGTATATATTTTCATATCGTATTTCCTTAAAAATGTCTTTTATTTACTTATTACTCTATTTTTTGTAGCTATTAAAAACGTCAGCTGGATACATATCTGTTTTACTTACAACAAGGAATTAATCGCAGTTTTAAATATGAATAATGCCCAAATTAATGTTAAAAATACAAATTCGATAATGATTTATCCGGAAAATATTAACTAATTTAGAATACGCCATGTAAGATTACTTGAAAAGTTTATGTAGAATGATTATATGCATTATGTAATGATTATATGCATGAATAAACTCAATATTTACATTTTCTGCTGCAAATAAATGTAATATACTGTAAATAGACCGATTGTTTTGCTTATTGATAAAAATTATTAAATAATACAAAAAAGACAAATAAATTAGCTTAAATATTGATGAGAAAAGAAAAGAAAATAAATATAAGATATCTTGAGAAAACTGTTGCAATATTAGATTTAAGATAATAAGTAAATTTTAGGTAAATTAAAAAATATAAAATCCAATGTCATTAAAGATTATATGGAATTTTAATTTATATACACAGTTATAACATATCTTATATTTAATTTGATATCACTAAAATAGAAATTGTGCACATATTTTGAGATAAACATGAAATATCTCGCAACTCTAATGAGAATTTTATCACTAATTTCTTGTTAATTAAATCTTAATATTTTGTATAGAATAATGAGATGAATTAATTGATGTAAAGAAAATATTTTTCAAAAATATATACGTAGTTGCATATTGTAAACTGTACAATTTATTTTTTAAAGCAGTAATGTATTTTTTTATGTCAATTGATTCATCTCGCTGTTCTATGGATAAAAGTATTAAAGCAGAATTATCAAAAAATGAACAACTCAAGAAATATTTTATATTTCATAAGTAGGATAACTATGGGAATTCTCTCTAATTCGAGATCTCCCCGCTCCCCGCACCCTTCGTCGAGCTCGCGAATTAGAATCCCCATAGTTATCCTACTATCATCTATCGCTTTAAAAAACTTTTATTATGCACACATACATGAATTATCTGTTAAATGAAAGTTAATGTCGTTCTATAAGGAGAAAGTAGATGTCAGTGGATGAAGAAACTATAAGAAGCAATGAAATAATAGCTAGACTCTATGGTGGTGGAATTCTATGATACGAGTAGACAGGAGCTCCTCTATGAAAAATTACTACATTCGGAAAGTGAGTATATGAAAGAATAAAATAGGTTTAATATCGTAAAATATGAAATAAAAATACCTATTTAGTGTACCCATCTTTTTTCCAGATCTATTATATCACCTAAATTCCAATAAAGAGCAACTGTTTTCATACATAAATATAATTGCGGTTTAAAAAATTTAATTAGGAGCGAATTACAAGAAATTAAAACACAAAAACATATTAGATACGATATGTGATTCGTAGTTTGAGGTCACATTTTTCCTTCAATGCGTCAATCTAACGATAATCACACTTTCCTACACATCTGTTAATAACTTCCTTCTTTTTTCACATTCATGCAATTAGCTTGAAAAATTTAACAAAACACTTGTGTTAGATATACGAATCCAAAAACTTCACCTCAGAAAATCAATGTAATGGATACGACTTATCAGGTTTTATATTGACTGTATTTCTCATGCAATTAGACTGTTTACATATTGATACGTTTCGTAGTATCAATCATATATACGGCTCACAGATCAAATCGGTATTTTACCGTTTACATACTGCCTATTCATTATTCTTTATAAATTATCTCTAAAAAATTATACAGGTATCACATACCTGCATAATATGTGTTATCGATTGCTCAAAATTCATGTTCTTCTCGAAATAGAAAAATTTGATGAACCGTTAAAATTTCTTACGCTTTATGTAAAACGATTGTATTCATGTTTAACAATTTAAATCACTTTTGTAATAATAGTGACATAGGAAAATTTCATACAAAGCACATGTATATTTTTAAATCTGTAAATTTGTTAAAAAAATAATTATATTTTAATTTTAAAACAATTTTGTACAAAACATCATATTATGCAATATACATATAATATTTAGCGTCAAGTTATTTAAAATTTTTATTAAAATTTTTGCGTGAATAAACTTTACGCTAAAATGTGTCGGTATCTTTCTACCCTACACAACTTTACTGCAAAATTGCTATCTAAAAGTAATATTATATAAGAAAAGTTATATTATAAGAAATAATTAGATTGTAAATAAAAATTGAATAATATACATATAATGTTGTGTTCATTTTGACTTTAACTATGCAATATTTCGCTCTAGATCTCCGTCGCGATCATTGAAGGTATCTTTACATTAATTTTATTAATATTCTTTTCTTTATATATATAATTCTCTTTATAGGTATATTTAAATATATTTTTAATGAAAAATGTGTATCTTTCAAATTACGAAGAGGTTTACAATGTAATGTATACAGGCAATGAAATACTATATTATTTAAAATGTTATAATTAAATAATAATTAAAATGTAAAAGATTATCAATAAGTCTATTAGATTATCTTCTCGTCTAGTCCATTCATTTTAATTGCTAAAATTTAAAAAGTTAGAGTTTCATATTTTGAAAAATTATATACATTATATTATTTTTTGTAATATATCAAACATATAGATTTGCAACATGATAAACAAAACTTTTGTAGCTCATACAACCACTTCAATTCAATGAGAAGATACAACCGATTGCACTATCCGAAACTGAAGTACCATTGGGCGCAAAATTGCAAATGATTGGATGGATGATAGTCGATCGTGAAGGAAAAAAGACTGCAAATTTAAAGAAAGTAACATTAACAACACTAGATTTTGAAGAATGTCACTCATTTCATGATAAAAAGCTCTCTAAATCTGAGTTCTACTCTCGTGTGGAATCCGAAATAATTATTGTAAAGTAAAAAAATATTACGAAAAATGACATTGAAAAAGCGGAATATTTTAATATGTATATTTTAACAATAAGTATTTTATCTGACTTAATGCTGCATTACTGATATTTCATTTTAATAAATAATTTTAATAATGTTACATTATTAATATTTCATTTTATTAAATATTTTTATTATTGTTAAAATTGTTAAAATAAATATAATAAACTGGATAATTGCTTAAGTTTTAAAAAGAAAAATTTTTGCGCAAGCATCTATAATGTGCTTGTAATAAAATATCGTTAGCAAAAGTTTTTCTTTTACATTTAAACTTATAAGAATTAATTTTTTAAAGATAAGTTATCTAGGAATATTAGCATTAATTAATAAACATTTTTTATAAAATATGTAAAAAATTAAAATAAATGTAATAGAATTTAATAATAACAATATTAAAAATTATTATTTAGGGTAGCTCTCTGATTTATAAAGGCAAACTTGTAAGGTATAGCTATTGTACTTACGGTATTTCATGCATTGAAACCCCGGTTCCAGATGTTCATACCAGTATAAACAAAAATATCGAATATCTCAATGAGATTATGAAATCATAAAAATTTACTCATGCTCTATGTTTAATTCTTATTTTAAACACGAAATTTAGAGATGATAGATATTTACGGACTGCATTAAATAATAATATAGATTACAACATATATCTCAGGTAATTATATTAGCATGTTGTAATACTATAATCAAAAGTATGTTGTCGACAATAATTATATTAGCATGTAATACTATAATCAAAAGTATGTTGTCGACAATAATTAATCTATATAAAAAGTTAACTTTTCACATAATATCTACAAAAATACAATATAATTGCAAAATATAATTAAATATATATAATTATTATATTTCAAATATATAATTATATATAGATGATATTACCAAAAAGGACAGATGTATCCTTTACAATATGTATACCTATAAGTAATGATTTTTTTGTTACTCTATTTTATACTTTCAAATAAATTTTCAAGCAACAATTATAATATGTAACATTGTAATGTATAAATAAATATTTTAATATCTAGTAATTTAGAAAGATATATTGATAAAAGTAATTATTCCATCCATATACATATATTTATGCGCAAGGGCACGCATAAATATAACAAATGGATATATATATGTATATGTTTTATACATATATTTACTGTATGTATTTATGTGTACATAAGTCTGAAATTTTTAAGAAAAATAATAATAGATACTCTTAAACATTTAAATTTTAATATCTCATTTCTCGTATAATAGTATAATATTATATCACAAAATAAAAGATATTCTACACTGAAAAAAATGCATGTAATTTTACATGGAAATTACATGTTTATGACTGGAAAATTACTTAAATTACATAAATATGATTGGAAATTTTTACTGGAAATTGTAAATTTCTAATCATAATTAGGTAATTTTCCAGTCATAGACATGTAATTTCCATGTAAAATTACATGCATTTTTTTCAGTATAATAACTCAAATATCAAATAAATACTTTTTTACTTATTTGACAAATATTTAGAATGATAATAGATATCGTTACAATATATTATCTCTAGACGTACACTAGAACAGTGTAAGTCATTTTTTTGGTGATACGTATAGATACTAAGAAGAATACTTGTTACGTGCACATTATCTGCTACTTTGTATTTTAGTCCTCAAGTATAAAACTTTGCCAGACCGTTATAAAAAAAAATTGATATTCAAACTTTAACAGACAAACTTTTATATATCGTGCACGTTGAGCACATTAATCGATAACTACTTTACAGGGTCGGTTTTAGAAATGATTAAACTTATCGCCAATATACCAAAAATAAGAATCTTAAATTCGTTAAAAAAGATTTTCTATATTCATACAAGGAATGAATAAATTTAAAGGAGCTAAAATACTTATCAATCTTATCATTAAATTAATATTTAAATCTATAATATTTTAACGTTTTGTTTAAATATATATGTTCTGTTTTTATGAAAACGATAAGAATATATTTTAATATCTTAATACAACATAAATATATGTAATAATATAATTCAATCAAATTTTCTGCATAAATAAAAGTTTTGCAATTTGCGAAATATGTCCAATAACAATATATTTAAGTTTATTATTGGACATATGCGACCCTTTATCGATGTTGACGACAGGTCGCAGTTGTTTAGTTCACAGAGGGGAAATAACTACCCTATAATTCTCAATTTCCTCTCAGGCTAAACAATCTAGCTATAAGCGTCACGCGCATTCTTGTTACGGACACGTACATTATTATTAATGACTGCAATATTCACTCACGAAGAGAAATAAGTCTATAATTCTATAAAGTTTCTGCGCACATTGTAGTTCACATTGTACGTGCTAAAGGGATGGTCATATTGTAGACATGGCAAAAGGGGAAGTTAATTCCTACGTAACTGCCGATATGATTATTTCGATGCATTCAGAACATAAAGGTGCTTTTTTTTTTCAATAATTTTAATATAGCATTATAAACACTTTTTATAATAAAATAATTTTTATTAAATAAATTTTTAATAAAATTTTTATTAAATAATTTTTAATAAACGTATAAAATTTAATATAGTTTTCTATTAACTACGTGTACAGAGATAAATTATATAATATAAAAAGTAAAAAATATAATGAACATATGAGAATATTTTTAAGTAGATAAATGTTGTGGATAAAGATAAAAAAAAAACAAAAAACGCAAAACGCTGTCAATAGAAAATCAAGTCATGCAATTCAGTTTTAGCAAAATATTAAGTGATGCATTTTATTTAAGAAGAAGTTTTATATTAATTTTGCCTCTCATATTTTTTTGAAAATAGATTACGATTGGGTTATTATATTAAATCGATTTTGCTTGAGCTTGTTTGGAGTTTGGCCGGAATCCAATGAAACTCCACGAAAGAAATTGATGATAAATATACGCGTGATTATTATATTAAGTATAATTATTTGGAGTTGCGTTGTTCCATCTTTCCATTCTCTCATCCGAATATGGGGAAATATTATGCCTATGATCGATAACCTACAATACACCTTACCGCTTTTAACATCAATAATGAAACTCATTCTGTTGTGGCAGAAAAAAAAAGGTATTCTTAAACTTGAGAGAAAATATATATGCAGCATACATAAGAAAACCCAAAGTTTATTCAAAATATAATTTTCTCTATTTTATCATAAGAAATCTTAAGAAAAAAAAATTTATTCTCGATTCTCACAACTACATTAAACGTAAAATAATCATACTTTATTATTTTAAAATTACTATTAATTTAAAATTTAATTAATATATATAGAAAGATAAGACATTTTTTAAATAAAAAAATTTAATGCGCATAATGATCAATATTGAACAAAACTTTCAGTTTTTAAATATTTTAATGTATTGTTTCCATTTATATATTTATCTCAAATATAATTCTCTTCCACTACATTTTTTAACGGAAATTTTATTATTTTTATGATTTTATTCTAACAAGAGAGTAACAACATAATTTTAATGCTCGTAATTCATTTTTAATAGTTCTTGTATCAGTTTTAAAAATGGTTAAAGAGGACTGGATAAAATTAAAGACAGAAGAAGAAAGAGCTGTCATGGTAAGACAAACACGAATTGCACGTCTAATCATGATTTGGGGATACCTTGTTATGGTTTTCTCGTTCATTTTATTTGTAATTCTTCCTTCTTTTAATATATCGATAAGATATATTACAAATATTACCGATCCGGGCAAAGTGCTACCACTGCAAACATATTACATATATAATGTAAGCAGAAGTCCATTTTATGAGATGACTTTCATTATACAAGGCTTTAGTTTGATGACAGCCGCTATTACGTACACTGGCACGGACTCTTTTATGGGTTATCTAGCCTTCCATGTATGTGGTCAACTCGAAAATTTCAGGATGCGTATTCTTAATCTGGATAAATTCGAGCACTACGAGAAAGCATTATCATATAATGTGCAGGATCATATACGTCTTATCAGGTTTCGTACTGATGATATAAATAAAGAAGTAAATTCACAATTGAATTTAATAAATTTTCCAGAAATTATATCAAATATTTTCTAAAATCTTCTCTATTTCATAAATCCATCAAATTTTGTCAAAATAAGAGAAAAATAATTTGTTGGTCAATAACAAAAGATTTTTAAAAAAATAATTAATATACATATATGTATATGTACACACATAATATACATGTAACACATATAATAGAATTATAAATATACATACATAGAAGATATTTCAGAATCTTAAGTTTCAGAAGATTTAGGGGATGAAATATTCTCACCAAAGGAATTCATTTTCGTCAAGGAATGTTTGATTCTTTTAATGAGATTTATCATTCCTCTTGAAGTTTGTCCCTAAAATTCTGAAACAACCTGTATATACACACACACGTGTGTATGTGTGTGTGTGTGTGTGTGTGTGTGTGTGTGTGTGTGTGTGTGTGTGTGTGTGTGTGTATTTTTGTGTGTGTGTGTGTGTGTGTGTGTGTGTGTGTGTGTGTGTGTGTGTGTGTGTGTGTATAATATTTGTAAACAAAAAATTTGATGATAACAATTTGTATAAAGTGAATTATGTAATTTATTGCTTTGACATAAGTTTTATAATATATGTATAAGCAATATATTAGCTATTATATATTATAAATTATAAAAGATATTTTCTTTTACTTTATATCTATATAAAAAATAAGTAGAAACAAAATGAAATAATATTTATATTACTTTTTGCCATTTTTCGCTTACAGATTTATTAAACTCATTGACAATACGTTTAACTTAATGTTGCTTGGTCTGCTAGTATATTTTGGCATACTTTTTGCTCTATATGGATTTTTATTTGTCACCGCAAGTATCTTTTAACTTGTATTTAAGTTGGATTTCTCCATTTCTATATAATGCAATAAAAACACAATAAAATTACAGTTTTAATTGGAACTGTAATTTACAATTAGAAACTGTAATATTCCAATACTCATCTAATTTTTTTTTTAAATAATGTATCTATTATTTCATTATATATGTAAAATGGTTTATTATATTATGCTTGTGAAGTATTATATTTGTGTACTGTAAATTGCAATAAACATGTCCATGCATCCTTTGAAAAATGAATATTATTACAAAATAAAAAGAATATTATCATGACAATTACTATTCTATTTATATTTTTTAATAATTTAATCATTACATTTTTTTCTTAAAATATAAAAAAAACTTAAAATTTTTTATTTAAAAGAGAAGCAAATGATACAAATTTATTTGATATATTAACACTGTAATTACAAATCGATAGCCAATATAAATCCAAGCGATTGTGCGTAACCAATCAGATTTTATAACACAAACAATGTTATCAATTAAAAAAATAACATCATCATTATGTGTAAAAAAAATAATGAAAAACACAATGTTAAGTATAAGTATAATTATTTGTACTATAAAATTTAATTAATCGCACGCACAACTACGTCTCAGACTCGAACTGGCTATTTACTTGTAATTATAGAAGTGATACAATTTAATCCTCAATAATTTATAAACTCCTATTAAATCTGTTTAAATTAATTATTTATATTTATCATTATATATATATATATATATATGAGTACAAAATTTCTTACAATTTTATAATTACGTTTAGTTATTTTTATTGTTTAGATAATAACACAAGGTAGCAATCTCTCGATCTTTCGACTTATTTACATCCTGACAGCTGTCATTAATACATTTACACATATGTGCCTTTATTGTGTAGTAGGCGAATTTTTAGTCATTCAAGTAAGTATTAATATTCTTTTATTTATTGTTTTTTTTATTATCAGCATGCAGAATATTAAATGTTATTTATTAAAATATTTAATAAACGTAATATTAAATTATGCCTTATTATAATTGTTTTTGGGATATTGTTTGTCAAGTGTGAAGAGGTATATAAGGCTATTTATCATTACAAGTGGTACAATCTAAAGCCGAAACAAGCCAAAAATCTATTGATTATAATGATGCTAGTCAATAGGCCACTGCATCTTACTGCAGGAAAATTTTTTCCTATGACGATGGCCACATTTTGCAATGTAATATTTATTATAAATTAATTTATTCATTCTATATACAATATAACTACTAAAAAATAAAAAATTAAAATATACAAAAATTCTTTCTATTAGCATCGTACAAGAATTTCTTATTAAGTAAAGTATTAATTATTTTTTTCTTATTAATTTTAGAATTAGAAATTAAAAAATAAAAAATATATCTTCGTATTGTAAAATACAAAAGTTTTCTGATCTTATAATTTAGTTCTTTAATAAGATATTTAAATAATATATCATTAAATAATATCTTTTTAATATTTTGTTTGTTAATTTTAATATCTTGTGCATAACATTAAATTATAATAGTAAAACAAAGTAATATAAATACTATAATAATATAAATTAAATTGTATTATTATAAATTATAAAAAAGGAACTAAAGTTCTTAATTATTTCAATTACTAATTAATAATGCGAATAACGAGAAAATTTAATATAATTTATATTAATGTAATTTCTACATTTACAGTTGATTATCTATATAATTTTATTATATTTCAGCTGTTAAAAACATCTAGTGGTTACATATCAGTTTTATTAGCACATCGTAATTAAACTAGAAACATTTATAAAATATTATATAACAATTGCATAACATCGCAATTTTATTGTTGATAGAAACAAATTACATAGTAATATTTTAACTGTTACACATTTCTTATTGTAGTAATGTACTTTAATATAAATCAATTCTATATATATTGTGTATATATATATATTCTAATTTTTCTATGCGTGTTATTAAATTTTATCCTTTTTTGTTAATGAATTACATGAGTGAATTTAATTTAAATTTATCGTTGCAAATTTAGAGTATATTTTATATTGCATATTAATTTTTTTCACATAATGCAAAAATTTTTAAGTAACAATTGTTCTCTAGGTCAGACGGCAAATAAATCATGAATAATCCTCCTAGATAAACAAATGCGTATTATTACATAAAAGGAAAAATGAAAACGATATTTCATGATATATTATGAGACATGACAAATAACATGTTACTTATAACGCCGTTATTACTGCTTTTTTATAATCATTTGATAATAACATTATTATTATTTTTCATGGCGATAACAATAACGTCAGGATTAATAACAATATTTTTTAAAATAACTTATTACCATTATACGTGTTTCTCATTGAAAACTGTTACTCATTACGTAAGTACTTAGAAAAAAATAATATCACGTAATTCTTCGTGGTTTTCTCGATTTTGTAAAGATAAGTGAAAAAAAACTCTCATAATTTATACGTATAGCTTTATATAAACAAAAGAATAAGATTAAAGTAGAATTAGTATGAAAAAATTTGAAAAAATAATTAAAAATTCTAAAGATATTATAACTAAGATAATATTTCTGTAATTTATTAATAATCTTTTATTATTGTTATTATAAACTGTCTATTAGATTTATAATAATGTAGATTATTTTCATGAAACTTTACAATATTTTCTTTGCTGTTACAAATATTAAACATAACACACTATTGCTCATAAATTGATTTAGTGCTTTAGCAGAATGGCTGGCTTATAATCTTAAAACAATGTCTTATAGTCTAAATCTTTTGCCTTTAGTAACGCACAATAACTGTCTTATGACTCAAATCTTAAAGATGTTTTAAATACATATACCTATATGAAGCGTGAATTACTAAAGACAAAAGATTTAGGTCATAAGACTGTCTTAAGATTATAAGTCAATCACTCTGCTAAGGTCCTAAAGATATAATCTTACTATCGTTCTTAATTCAACATCGCATTACTGTGATCTTCGCAATAATCTCGTTATAATATTCATATTTATTATGTATCAAAATGTGTACAGCTGTGTACACACTTCGATACGTATATAAATTGCACCGTACTCATTACTGTACTTCCCAAAGTTTGCCAGGCACGGTGTAAAAACAGATCTACGTAATGGGACAGCTAGCATGTTTCCTAATCGCATTGGCGATCGTAGGTAAATTAAGCATCAAGAACTTGATAACAATTTCTGTGACTATTTAACAAATTTCATAATTAAATTGCATTTTTTATTAACTTACTTTGTATTTATATTTATTTTATTTTCATCATTTAATTCATTTACTTTGTAGAAATATCATATATCGTTAACACATTCTAAAACGTTTGAAAACTACTTTTACAATACATTCGCAGGTGTTTATGGAGATGAACCAGACAAATTAGTAAATGGAATACCCACTACTATAGAGAAAAATCCTCATTGTGTCTCCCTAAGAATCAATAATAGTCATTTTTGCGGCGGTAGTATAATCGATTCACAATATATCCTAACTGCCGGGCATTGCGTGGCCCCTCTATTTTCTGACGACTCTCTAAGGAAATCTGTGACCGTTGTTACTGGCACGACTTACCTCGATAAAGGTGGACAGGTTTATAAAGTGGAAAAATTGTGGTACCACGATAATTATAATCCTCGCGCATTGGGTAGAGGCCCTCATGACATGGGTTTAATAAAGGTACAACACTTTAGAGTAAATATATTATAAGTATCAGTTTGTGACATGTATAACATGGACGTACAGTATACTTTCTGATATAGTAATAATACACGGATGTCAAATGATAAAACGTATTTTAATCATTCTCATTTTAGTTCATAGTATATAGTATTTTTAGCTGATGTCACCGATTGAGTTTGGCCCAACACAAAAACCAGTTAAACTCCCAACAAAGAATGTGACAAAAAGTGATGGTGTTATGATTGCTGCCTGGGGTTCTACGGGTTTTAATAAACCCGTACATAACAATTTACAAAAATTAACCGCGAATGTCATGCTTCCAGACACATGCCAGGTTTATCACAGTTTCATTATGAAAATTTATAAGAATGAATTCTGTATCCTTATCAAGAAAGGAATCGGATTGTGTAAGGTATATAATATAATATTATATCTAATAAAATGTCCGAACACATTTAATTTTACTCTTGCATATCTTTTTATATTTAACGTTTTTCACCTAAATACACTACATTTTGTAATTACTTTTGCTTAATAAATAACGCTATATTACATTCGCATTACAATATTACAACCCCTATATTCTCCAAGGTTATATTTTACATCATAATTAATTCATGTTTGTACGTACAATAGAATTGATTCCAAAGTATAATAGAATTTCTTTTATATCGCACGTCTCTCTTTACTTAATTGTTTATAGCAATGATAACGCGAAATTATTGGAATTCTTAAATAATGCCAATTTTAGATTCAGTATAATGCGTAAAATATTAATAATCTCAGCCACATAAGGGATAATGCAATAATAATTTCTATTTTTCCATTGCAGGGTGATAGCGGTAGCGGATTGATTCAAGACAGCGACGGAACAATTATTGGTTTGGTATCTGGTGGAAGACTGTGCGCCAAGGGTTATCCAGACGTATATACAAACATTTATCCCTATCTTTCTTGGATCAAAGAAAAAATGACGGAATGATATCATTTTTGTATCGTATGTTTTTAAAACTTAATAAAAATAATTGAGCAAATCTTTATATTCCTTATACAGGGTGTTAACTAAGTATGTTGCCATACTCAATAGAGCGATTCTTTGGTTTATTTCAAATAAAAAAGTCCATATAAACATGAATCCATAAATAAAAAAATCGCTCTGTTGAGTATGGTAACATACTTAACTAACATCCTGTATATTATAATACATTATTAATACATTATAATAATTATTAATACATTATTTGTAGAACTCTAACTGAATTTTCATTGTTACCCATACAGCACACTTTATCCGAGGAATATTCTTATCCTGAGAACATCCATAGAACATAAAGATATTAACTCTGGACATCTTAACGTCTCTGGAAGATTTGTGCTACAAAGATATGTGCACGTATAAGAAAAGCTGAAAAATTATTTGAATTCTTTTTACATGTTCATTTTGACGGTATAACGAATTATTAATTTATCTAATTATTTAAATAATTATATAATATTAATTAAATTATTTTAACACTTTTTGCGGTCTGCTGACTGTACAGCATCATCGCATGAATTTCAACGTTCCAATCTACTGACGGCATAATATTCCTTTAGATTCCAATTATTGTACCGTCATTTTATTACATGTATCGAGAGAAAAAGGGAATATGTAAAAACCTGATATAAATGAAGAGAACATAAAGCTCTTTCTATCATCATAGAATGATCATAGGTTGCAAGATAGTCATAAATTTGATTGGGAAAAATCAAAAATTTAGATAGCGGAAGATATTTAGATAGAAGATTAATTTCCGAAATGTTAAACATTAAAATTCAAATAAATAGTATGAATTTATTATCTGACATTGAGTTCTTACATCATGGTTACGTCAATATTTTAAGTAATGTTTCAAAGTATGATAAGAAATTGACCGTACCGTTAATGCTCAATAATTATCAATAATTATTTATATTATTTACGTTTTTTTATCACTTGACGAGTTACTTAACTCCATTCGTTCTTTGTAACCGCATTTCTCGTTTAAACTTTGTCAGACTTAGTCAAGTTATTGTAACAGTTTATATTTTATAATCATAATATTTTATTTTTACATATTTTGTGGTTCTGTATTCAATCATAGTTGCAATAGGTGAGTGAATTATTTAATTTTTTTTCTGTTTCATATTAGAAATCTCTATGAACTTTCTCACGCTTTAGAATTCACTTAATCTAAGAACTACTTAACGGTTTCACTCTTCAAACATGGAGTTTAATGGAGGCTCTACCCGCTGCACACACACACATACCGGGATTGTATCTTTTGCGGACACAGAGTTCATATTATTATGAATTATTGGATTTTTTAGATATCACTGATAGCTTGAATTGAGTCCAAACATCCAATCGTCATGTAAAGGATGTAAGAAAGAATTAAATATAATTTATATTGCTAAAAATTATAACTCATGAATTATCGCACAGCTCTTTTACTCTCACTCACTCTTGTGAGTATTTATTTATTGTTTGAATTTCGAGAGTCATATTAAACATTATATTTGTATTGAAGAGTAAAATAATCGCAATTATATATTATTATAACAGACAATCCAGGGTTGGAAAGTAATTAGATAATACTTATAACTAAGTGTGCTTTCCAGCAAGTGACACTGCGTAACACAGTGTACTATCCAATGCTTTCCAATTCTACAACACAAGTCGACACAATCGTACACAGCTAAAATGTTAAAATTGACTATATCGGCTCTCTATGGATATCAACATGATGGATATCAACATTTTTACATTTGTAATAAAGATAAACTAAATATAGTGTTGTAAGATGTAAATACAGAGCTATAATAATATGGATCGCGAAAATTAATAACCATCTCTAGATGTAAAAAGCAATTATATTTACCTACGAAATATTATGTCACGACACAACATTCTGTATTTTGCTTTACTGATAATAACAGAATGAATGAATTAAGCAATAAACTATAATCGGATCAGACGGACAGCCTATACAATTTACGCCCAGTTCCATAACTCACGGTTAACTCTTAATCAAGGTTCAACTTATTCATTGTCTCTTTTCAATTCTAGAATGCGATCTGTTAAATTCACCGTGTAATTATCCACAAATAGCGAGTAGAGCATATTGGATAATGTAACATTAATCAAAACATCGAATGATTGATTTCCTTCCATGATAATTTTTTACAAATAATAGTGACAATTTTGCTCACAATTCAGTCTTTTATTTTAAAAGATCTTATACGTTTATATATTATATATATGTATAGTAATTATCAATAATTTTCTGATACTATTGTTTCATCGATGGCCTTGTAATATGTAATAGAGCGCATTATATCAGTTGTGATAATATAATTGCAGTCAGTTTACTCTTATTTCAACTGTAATATGAATGCCCTTAAAACGTCCTCATTAAGATAATAGTATCAAAAACTTTTTTCAAAAGAAAATGTATATGAATAATAAGGAAGTTATTTTTCCAGCCAGCGGAAATTATTGAAACTGCAGAATAACTTATTTTGTTCATAAATATGTTATTTCGTCTTAAACATTTCTAACATGTATTGACATTTTATTAGTAAGATTTACAGTTCATTGGATGCTTTTCATTTGGTGACATATACTAGTATAAGTCTACACAAAGTGTCATTCTATCTTTGTTACTCACTGAATACCGATAAAGATAGAATAATGCTTGTGCTGATTTATGTCATCAAATAAAAAACACCTATAAAGCCCAGACACAATAGCCGAGGAAATAGCAATAGCGATAAAAATAATATGATTTCAACCCAAATACTATATATTCCGGTATCTAATTTTTGATAGATTGAAATTGTGTTATTTCTATCGCTATTACTATTCCCTCGTATTGTGTCTGGAGCTTAAAAGTTTTAATATGTTCACCGTGCATGCACAAAGAAAGTGATTCATATATAATATCACAATCTGATTGAAACAGACTGAATTTCGTTACTGACAATCAATAAATATCGTACATTATAATTTTCTTTTTATGTCGGATTATGCTTTACAAATTTTCTTGCTTATTTAGTTTTTTGTGAACTCAACTTATTGCTGGCTATATTAATATTAATTTTTCTATATTAAATAGATGATTTTTCATACAAAGTTGTGCTTTTTATTATAAAGTGAAGATGTGAAACTATTCGCGACAGGATATTTTATTTTACCTATAGATATAATATGGTATTCTATATTTTTACGTTTCTATATCTTAAATCTCGTTATAACGTGATAAAAATTAAATGATCTATTAATATTATTCCTTCCCCCCTCTCTCTTTCTTTCTTATTTTGATTATGATGATAAAAATTGCAACAACACTTATTACTGTTCTTATCATAGTTTGCTAAGCGCAGTGTGAAAGCAAATCAACGCAATGAGACAGCTAGCATGTATCTTACAATTAATCGCATTAGCGGTCGTAGGTAAGTTAAATATTAAGAACTAGATAAATTATGTTTTCTATCAATTCATTTATTTTATAAATGTATCACATTATATTCTGATTTTTATATTGTATACATATATAAAAACTATGCATACAAATTGCATAATTTCATGCTGTACATGCTTCATTCAGAAAGTCTTCTAGATCTTTTTAGTATAAACGACACAATATTTTTATAATACCTTGATTAAAAACCACTATTATTAATTTATATAACATTATATGTTACTAATAGTTTTATTCATTAGATATATCGATTTTCTCAACATTTTTTAAAAAATTAAGAATAAATAATAAATAAATATAAATTTTTAGTAAAAAGAATTACTGCCAGTGAGCCTTATTTCTTGCCTAGTAGATTATAAAAATCACTTCAAACTACTTGCACGAGTAGATAATTTCATCAACTACACTATTTTTATAGTATTAATTATATATATAATTTTATTATTTTTATTATATTATTTTATTATTCTTATTGTATTTATTAATTTTATCCTATTAGCTTTTAAATTGTGTATAAAAACAGAGATAAATTTTATCTTTTCTTATGTCACAAAATATATGAAATAGAATCAATCTTAAAACATAAAGTTATAGAAAGAAATTTTCATGAAAAAATAATGGAAATAATTTAAATTGATAAAGTAATAATGTTTTGATATATCATAAAATTCCTGCAATTTTATGTTCATAAATTAATATTATGTCGTATCTTAAGATAACTTTTTAAAAAATTATTAACACATTGTATAACATTTAAAAGTTACTTTTACTATATGTTTGCAGGTAGTTATGGCAATGAAACGGCTAGACTAGTAAATGGAAAATCTACCTCTATACAGAAAAATCCGCATTGTGCCTCCATAAAAGTGCTTGGAGAATACATATGCGGCGGAAATATAATCAGTAAACGACATATCCTAACTGCCGCTCATTGCGTGTATGATTTATATCGTGACAAGATTTTATTGAATTCTACGATTGTTGTTACTGGCACAACTTACCTTGATAAAGGTGGAGTGACTCATAAAGTGAAAAAGGTGTATTTCCACGAACGTTATGATCCTCTCATTTTGGGTGTAAATGACATCGGTTTAATAAAGGTACAATTTTAGAATAAATTATATACATATTACAATATTCATACGTGTTATATTAGCTTGTGACATATATGGTACACACATTCAGTATACTTTCTGCTATATTAATTATAAAAAATGATGTACAGACTAAATGATGAAATGTACTTTAATCACTGCTACAGTTTGGCTCATTAATATAAAATATGTTTTAGTTGCTTAAGACCATTCAATTTGGCCCAACACAACAGCGAATTATGCTCCCAACAAGTGATATTGCAATTAATGAGAAAGTTATGATCGCTACTTGGGGTCGAAAGGGCTTCCAAAAACCCCTACATAACGATTTGCAAAAATTGGACATGAAAGTCATGCTTCCGGCTACATGTCAAGCTCGTTATGACAAATCCAGTCTTATTATACATATTGACAAGAATAATTTTTGTACCTACATTAAGAACGGAATTGGAATGTGCAACGTACGTAATATTACATTATATCTGATAAAATGCTCAAATATTGCATAAATCATTTGATTGTATTATCACACATCTTTTTATATATCTAGTATCTTCCGTCTATATATAAATATGCACACTACATTTTGTAGTTACTTTTGCTCAGTCATGACGGTGCATTTAACATCACTTCTATGACAATATTACACTCCTATCTTTCGTTCCAAGATAATATTTTATATTATAATTAATTCATATTTGCAAGTGCAACATTGAGTGTTAAAGTAGAATTCTTATATACCGCATTTCTCTCTTTATTACTTTCATTGATTATAGCAATGCAAATGGTATAAATGTTATATTTTTGAAATTTTACCGTTTTAAATGATATTAATTTTGAGTTCAGTGGGTAACGAATAAAATATTATTAATCTCAATCTTATAAGGGACAAAGAGAGTACAATAATAATTTCCATTTTTTTTATTGCAGGGTGACAGCGGTAGCGGAGTAATTAGAAAGCGTGATAGAAAAATTGTTGGTTTAGTGTCTGGTGGAATACCATGCGCCAGGGGTTATCCTGATATATTTACTAATGTTTGTCGCTATGTTAATTGGATCAAAATAAAACTATTGCTATAATATTTTTTATATTGCATTCCTTTGTATTATATATTCTTAATACTTAATAAAGATCGATCATATAAGGCAAATGTACATCACTAATAAACCTGTTTAAAAAAAAGAAAAGATATGCCAAATACATAAGAAAAGTACGATAAGAATATTACATCCTTCCTAAAACCAAAAACTTAGTTAACTAACTTAATTATAACTAACTAAAAAAATTATTAAAAATTCTAGGAACATTATATATATTATAGCTAAGATAATATTTCTGATATTTATTAATTATATTATTATATTTATTATTCAATTTGTAATAAATAAACTAATTTGCGGTACATAATTATCAAATTTGTCCTTAATAATATTGTTGTTAAGCTTGAAAAGGATTTTATTTTACCTTTCAAGAAAAAAACGCAGAAATATATTTGAAAAAATTGCAGTACGGTATACTGTATAGTCAGGGATCATTACGATCACTTCTAGTAATAAATACGGACTAACATTCTACCCGTATGATATATAACACGTATGGCTATAGTCGTACTATACAGTCCAACCATTTGGTATTTCAAGTTTTATTTTTAAATTGACTGACTTTAATAAAACAAAAGGAAATGGAGACTGTTTTAAGCTAAAGTTTAGAAATTGCAAACTTTAGCTTAAAAAACTTTCAAGTTTCTTATATAGATAATAATAGTTTCAGTGAAGTGATCAATCGATAATTGCGGCATAACAGGATCGGCTTTAAAAATTTCCAACACATAATAAATAAACGAAAGAAGATTCATATTCTCTTAGTTGATTCCGTATAAAGAACAAATAAATTTTAAGAAGATAAAATAATTGAACATATATCAAAATATATGTTCCTTAAATTTATTTTTTTTTTGTAATTGAATTTCCATAATTTAATTATATTTTTTGATAAATACATTGTTTCATTACTTACTACAAAAATGTGCACATGTATTAATTACATTGTACATATGTGTATGTGTAAATTTTTTTAATTTGTTCGAGGTACGTATTATGAAATTATTCAGAATGGAAATGTTCGGAATAAATTTCGATCGGAATTGTCAATTACATATATAATATTCCTTAGATTTCTATTGTGTTTTCTGGGGAAAAATGAAAAATTTCAATCGGAATTCACTTCAAACACTTCCATAACACATGCCCAGTCATACACTGAACATTGTTAAAAACACATGCGACCCTGCAGCAATACACTTTTTTATTCGCTATCATGCCACTAAACAATTTTTCATCTGTAGAGTGAATCAAACGGCTATAAACATTATTCACCATAATATTCTCGTTACAGATGTTGCATTATTAATATGCAGTATATACACTTGTAGAGTGGCATTGAACTTAGGAAGTCTCGTCATACGTAACGATCTACCGCTCCAACTGACAATAAAACGAGAAAAAGAGACGCTTAGTCTCTTCACAGACACCAGTATGAATGTTTCAAAGGATTCAGCGTATGTAGGTGTGCATTTTTTTCTTTGATTAATTTCGATAGATACGTTAAGTAGAAAGATAGCAATGTTCATCAAGCGCATAATATTCACGAACAAATATTTCAAATTATTTTCTACAAAACAAACAACTGTTATAAAAATACTAGCTAAAATATGGGATATAATTACATCTAGTTAAAAAAAAAACCTATATTTATATCTTTCTAGAATCATTATTGACGCAGATAAAGATTGTAAACATTAGAAAAGTTTGTGTCACTCAATTATTTTCTTACTTTTACATCCTTCTATTACACATTTATATAAATATACACGTACACATACACGCATACAATAGATATATGTCACTTTTTTATACGTAATTTGCTCTTTGACATTTTTTTAATCTAGCTAGTAATACATTTTATGGGAGGTTTAATATTTACAACTGCAAATGTATGCAACAAGAATAAATAGATATTTTTCTTTTTTACAAAAAAAAAAATAAAAAGATAGTGATGTATATTTTAAAAAAAGAGAGAAAAAATAAGGAAAAAAAGAGAGAATATATATGAAAAAGGGAAAAGAAAATACATAACAATTACATAATATTCATGGGCAACAAAGAAATTTGATTTTATTAAAATTTTTACTCACATTTATCTCTCTATAAAATAGATTATGAATGGGCTATCGGATTAAATCGGATTAGCTTGGCACTATTGGGCGTTTGGCCAAAAAATAACGAAACTAAACAGAAAAAATTAATATCAAACATTTGTACAATCCTTATGTTAAATATTACAATCTGTGGCTGCTACATTCCAAGTATACATTCTTTGTTCAAAGTTTGGGGTGATATAATGTCTATGATAGATAATCTGCAATATACTTTACCGATGTCGGTAGCAATAATAAAATTATCCACTATGTGGCTGAGAAAGAAAGGTAATACGTAGATGAGACAGAAGCTAGTTGTTACAATTAGTCCTTTTAGTCCTTTTAGCCAAAGAAGACAACACTTTTTTATAAATTTTATAATACTTATGACATTTCACTAACAATTAGTGGCAGCCATAATTGAACTGTAGAAGACGCTATTTTTATATGATTATATTACTTGGAGGTAAATATTTCATTGTGTGAATTGTTTGTTTATTGGATACGTAAGCTAAAGGTATGTTATCATTCTTTTTTATATTTATTTTATTATTTTATATACATTTAGTTACAATAACACATTTTATTTGACTCGAAATGTATATATATATATATATTGGTTTTTTATCTATATTTTCTCGAATAAAAAATGATGAGTTAGGGCTAGTTATTACACTTTGATCGAAGCAATATATTATAATAATATAATAACACTTATTATGTAATAACACTTATTATATAATAATGTAATAATTTACCTCGTACTTAAAATTGATAAACTAATAATTTAAACTCTTTCTTTCTTATAGTTGATTGCTATATATTTAATAATTAATTCAAAAAAAATCTGAATTAACATATTTTTTATATTTTAATTTTGTATCCTAAAATAAACTAAAAATAATTCGTAATATAAAGTATTCAATATAAAGTATTTTGTGTTTGATTTTTTGTTGTAATCTTTTGTTCTTTACAATTTACCTACTAACGAAAAATTTCAATTTTCAATATTTAAAAACATTGATATAAATTAGAAAAAATTGTCTAAGTAGATTATTATCTACTTAGATTAGTTAACTTTAATTACACTAGTTAAAAATATATTTCAATCAATGTATAAGTATTCATTAATTCAAAATTTAAATGTATGCATGAGTTAAAAAAAAATTCTAGTATAAGATTGTAACAACTAGCTCCGTTCTCCTTTATATACATATTTCTGTAAATTATATATATTAGTAAAAAACGGTTTTTTTCAATCTTGCTATCTTAATTCAAAACAGTAACATTCTGTTCTAAGCTTAATTAAAATATATGTAACTCTATTATCTTCGTTGATTACAGATGTTCTACCCCTTTTAAACATGATTAAAGACGATTGGTTGAAATCGAAAATGATAAAAGAGAGAGATGTTATGATAAAACGAGCGCGGATAGCACGTATATTTACGATATTCGGATACTTCATAATGTTGGTATCTTTTAATTTGTGTGTAGTTCTTCCTGTTTTCGGTATTTCCATGAGATACTTGACAAATAAAACGGATCCAGGAAAATTAATGCCGCTACAAACATATTATATATACGATCGAGATAAAAGCCCATTTTACGAAATAACTTATATCATGCAGAGTCTCGGCTTGTCGGTAATCGCTATTATGTACACTGGTGTAGATAGTTTTTTAAGTTTTTTAATTTTTCACGTATGTGGTCAGTTAGAAAATCTCAAAATACGTATCATCCACCTGGATAAGTTCCAAAATTTCGAAAATGCTTTATCACATAGCATACAGGATCATATACGTCTCATCAGGTTACGCATATTATTGATTTTTAACAGATAATTTTTTAACAGATATAAAAAATAAAGCACATTTTCCACTAGCATATTTATTTAAATTATTCTAAAGTATAACATAAAATGAAAAGATTCTTTGAATATTATGATAGAAACAAATAATAAAAAAATTAATTTATAAATATGACTTTTTCAATAACTTTCTCTTTTTAATAATTTTCAGATTTATTAATATCATTGACGAAATATTTACAATAATGCTACTTGCTACGTTGTTTTACTTTGGCATATTATTTGCACTTTACGGTTTTTTATTGGGTACTGTAAGTAACTTTCCTTAATTACTTTTGCCTGTCAATAATATGATGTTTTATAAATGTCATCTTTATTACAATATTTTCTAAAAATTTAATAAACATATACTCTATATAAATAGGCATAAATAAACACGCATGCTTGTTTGACTGTCCCAAGCATTCCGAGAAATTATGTAAAAAATTCTTTTCATGTTTCTAAATTTTTAAATATTGTATTAATGCGTTTTACGATAAATAATTAAAGTTGTATAAATAAAGAATAATCATATACGTACAAAATCTGTTGATATAATAATGTAATATAAATAACAAAAACATATTATAAATTATAATTAATGTAATTAACATTATATTAAATGTTTCATCTTATTTATTTAACATCAATTACTATTCTTAAACATTCAAAAATTATAAATAAATACTTAATTCTATAAATATTTAATCCTTTCGTTTGTTTAGATGGCGACTCAAGGTCGTGATCTGTCAGTACCACGTTTAACTTTTATTATGACGGTATTTATTAATACGTTTGGACACACATGTCTCTATTGCGTTGTAGGAGAAATTTTAGTTGCACAAGTACGTTATCTTCTTGATTGACTTATTACAAACAGAATATAAATTATACAATACACTAATTAAAATACTTGCCCGATTTAACACACGATCTGTGTAACAACATATTTATTGCGTATGGCTATGTATATCAAGTGCGAAGGAGTTTATGAAGCTGCATGCAAGTACAAGTGGTATAACTTGGAGCCAAAGAAAGCAAAGAACTTAATGATGATAATGATTCGAGCCAACAAATCGTTGTACCTTACTGCAGGAAAACTGTTCCCTATGACGATGTCTACATTTTGTAACGTAAGCTAGCTAATAGAAATTATTCATATCACCTTTACTCTTACCTTTACCGATTCTTAATATAGATCACTTAAAAAATAAAATAAAAACCACTTTTGTGTATATAACATTTTTTTATTTTATTTGTTATGTGATTTATACATATATGTATAATATGTACAAAATGTAAGATATCTGTAAGGTTTTATTCTTATCATCTTGTCATTAATTAAGTTATTTTTACACATCAAGTAACATATATTTTTTATAAATAATTATATTTTTAGTTGTTAAAGACATCGGGTGGTTATATATCGGTTTTGCTGGCACATCGAGAATAAAAATAAAAATCTGCAAAAGTCAGATAAAAATCTAATTTTAAAACTCATACCGGGAAGTAACAATTAATGTGTTTATATGTAATCACAATTTGAATTTAAATATAATAATAAAGTTTACTTCGTTTATTTTATAAGAATGCATGCTTATTTATATACTTGTCAAGCACATTATGTATTACAATAACTATAGGCAATTTTTGGCGTGCTTCTGATATAGCAACCAAAAACAACCGCGGTTGGGGCTATCTTTGTCTTCTGATCCCTGAAAACGAAGAGCTTTAGCCTCAAATCGCGATTGCTTTTGGTTGCTATACCAGAAGCACGCCAAAAATCGCCTAATGTTATTACATTATCTTGACTTAAACATTTTTCCTGGGAGCATATCCTTTGGGCGTTTTTTATAGGACATTCCTTGGAAAGAATTGTATGTTGTATAGATGTATTCTGGTTGCATAATTGATGATCGTAGGTATGTTAAATATCAGAAACTTGATAACGTTTTTTCTTTTAACAATTTTATAATAATTAAAATGTGTTTTTTATTAATTCGTTTACTTTATAAAAGCGTTACACATTATATTTTATTTTTTATATTACATATATAAAAATAATGCATATAAATTACTTAATTGTGTATCGTATAAAATGTTTAATCTCGTCAATCATTATGTTGCTATTATATATTTATTTGTTCTATTATTTTGATTATACATATAATTTTATTATTGTTATTACATTTATTGATTTTATCCCGTTAATTTTATAAATTTTGTACAAAATTAAAAACAAATTCTATCACATCTTTTCTTATGTCACAAGAAATATAAGATGGAATAAACTTTAAAATATAAAATTAGCAAGAATTCTTTAGACATTACATAAGTAATGTCATAAACGTGTAAATAATTCATATTAATAATGATGTAATAACATTTTGATAAATATGATTTTCGTAATTTTATATTGAATTAATCAGCATTGATCTAGAGATGGGAAATAAATAAAGCCGTTGCTTTTACCATTACTTTTATCGTTACTTTTTATAACGATTTGATAATGACATTGCAATTTTTTATGGTGGAAACAGTAACTAACTGAAAGCAAAAATTAGGAAAAAATTATTTTTCAAAAGTATCTTGTCACGATCATACGTTGTTTATTGTAAAAAAAATAACTCATTACTTGTAACAAATTAAAATAACGAATAAAAATAACGAATCGACGTGCTATAAATGAGTTACTTTTTTCAATAAATAACGCGTAATAGTGATAAGTTACTTTTCAAAAGTGACTTCCCCAATTTTAGCTTTTAGCTATTTATCGTTACCATCATAAAAAATTGCAACGTTATTGCCAAATCATTATTGTAAAAAGTAACGACAAACAATTCCTATCCCTGATTGTGTCATTTATTCAAATATATTAGAACATATTATTAACAAATTGTATGACGTTTGGAAACTTTTCGTTCACAGGAATTTATGGTGATGAATCAGAGAAATTAGTAAATGGAATACCCACCAGCATACAGCAATATCCGCATTGTGTCTCCTTAAGAAACGACAATAAACACTTTTGCGGCGGTAACATAATTGATTCGCGTTACATCCTAACTGCCGGGCATTGCGTAGCGTTCCTAGTTCATAAAAGCCTAAGGCAATCTTTGACCGTCGTCACTGGCACAACTTATCTCAATACAGACGGACAGGATTATAAAATAGAACAAGTTTGGTGCCATGAAAATTATGATCCCTTTGATACTAGAAGCCCTCACGATATAGGTTTGATAAAGGTATGATCTTGAAATAAACTATATGTATATTTAACCAGGAAATGGAAGTAACTAGTTATTTGTAACGCCGTTACTTATTATACCTTATCGTTACTCTATTATAATAACGATTTGTCAATGACAAAATTTTTGCCTGTAATGGTAATATCAGGGTTGGAAACTCGATCGTTACTTGTGACGAATTGGAAAAGTCACTTATTACTGAAAAAATTAACTTGGTATTTGTAACTCGTTACTTTTTAATCGTTATTTGTAACAAGTAACACGTTACAAATTACTTTTTTTAGTAAGTAAACGCGTAATGATGCAAATTACTCTTTTTAAAATAACTTTTCCAATCTTAGCGCAATCTCAACGTTCAGTTAGCTATCGTTATAGTCATAGAAAATTGCAACGTCATTATCAAATTGTTATCATAAAAAATAACGGAAAAAGTAACGGAATAGTACCTCTTCCATGTTTCCTTTTACATGTTCGTTTTGATAAAATAATAAATTATTAATTTAATGGCAAATTATTTATTCTTATTAATTAATTATTTAATGTCAATTATATTATTTTGATTAATAGATAATAATGAAATTTAATTTAGAAATTTTTACATAATATCAAGAGAAATCACAAGCATATATGTATTTGTTAATGATAATATTTAAATATTTTTACGTAAAGAATTTTTTTCAATATTTTTTAAAATCGTAAAAATAATATATTTCTACAGAATTAAATGAAGATTTGATAAATTATTCAAGCTAAATTGTTAAAAAGATAATAGCACAAATAGAAAATGTATTCACTGGTAATAGCTAAAATTAAACTTATCAAACAGAATATCAATTAATAATTGAAATCAAATCCTACTGTATCCGATAATTGAAAGACAATTGCGTTTAATCGCAGCCAAAATTGTAATAAAAAGATAGAAAGGTAAAAAGCTTCGGTTCAAATTATTAAATCTAGTCACTTGTTTACACCAGATTGGCGACCGTGACTTACAGTATAGGACAGGACGTATTTACTTCTTGCACTAGTACCATATACAGGGTGTTTCCAAATTAAATGGCAAAACTTCGGGAGCGTGTAGAGGAGTAAAAAACTAAGAAAAAAAGTCCTATAGACATATGCTCCTTTTTGCTTTGTTTCGCAGGAAATCACGAAAAAAGAAAAAAATATATTTAATTTATTATTTTAATTATTTTATTTATAAACTTTTTAATGAAGATTTTGTTCGAAATGTGCACCTCTTGCAGCAATACAAGCATTGCATCTGTCAAACACGGCTCTTGTAGCAGCCAGGCCTTTAAAGCATTACCGTTGCAGAAACCGTATACAAAAACCATATCAGCATATTCACTATTAGAATACGTACGCGGCATATTGCAAAAGACAAAATTCATCTACTATTAAAGGCTTTCAAAGAGCGACTGACAAATTCATAACAGAAAGTGGAAAATGTAATCAAATATGTCGGTGCTAGATATGGCAAGAAATGTAAACATTTTTTTTCGATTTCTCTGAAACGGAGCAAAAACGAGCATATGTCTATAGAACTTTTTTTCTTAGTTTTTTACTCCTCTACACGCTCCCGAAGTTTTGCGATTTAATTTGGAAACACCCTGTATACATATTACAGGCATATATGACAATAATCATTAAGTATTATTCCTATATTAATTCCACTGATGTTTCGACACTGGGCATCAAAATTCACGAGTCAACCTTCATTTCGCTCGTTCAGAGATATATATAATCATATTCACTTACCCTCATTAGAACTGTGATATTATTTTCGTCTGAATATTTCATCTCACGAACAGAACGGCATTCTTAACATCATTAATCCATAAGATTATAAGCTTTATGTTACAAAATTATTTAATTATGTAATAATGTTGATTAATGTTAAAAGATGTCTTTTAATCCGCAGAGATGGCATTCACGTGATTCTAACTACAAAGATAATTGATGAACGATATAAAAAAATGAATAACTGTTTCGCTTACACCCGAGCGCGACAACGCAAAGCCACAAAGCAAGTATCACCGACGCGTTACCATGAGATACTGATGTAAATACCTCGCGCATGAATAGTCAGAGGTCGAAGGGTTCCCATGGTGGTGGATAATGACACACCCCCGCATGCAAAGTACGCATGCCTCATCGTTGATAGGACAAAAAGGAGGGATGGCATATAAAGATAAGGGGAAAATACTACATTTCTGAACCTACTTTATTGTAATTGGGTTTGTAACAGTTAATCAATTTACGTGCGTCACATAATTGATAAATTTATACCGGTCCTCTATAATGTTATTATTAGATTTATAATCATTAATGTTGTTCACTATTCACTAATGTGAGCAACATTTATATTTACTTATGATTTTATTATCTAGCTTATTAATTGTTTTAGTCAGCAACTAGAGGATCTGATAATTACTATAAATGTAAAAAGTATTCATATAAGGAAGACTTTTATTAAAGCGGCCTTATTTGTAGAAATAAACATTAATTAGCGATTTATTAATAATATTAGCAATGCGTATGTTCTGTCCTAATATAAATAAAAAAGTGTCATAAAATTAATCATGTTCTTTTGATGTGACATTCTTGCAACATTCGTTGGAAAACCGTGTTATGTGGATTATATTTATTAGATAGAAAGCTAAGTGTAACCGTACTTGCATTTTATGTAAAATCTAAAGATCTAATCAAAATCTGATCAGAACGGAAATCTAATTCTAAAAAATGTAAATTAATATGACTAAATTAAAATAAAATTTTTCGCATTTAAAATTTTGTCAAGTTATTATGACCAATATTAGAAAAATAAAATTATTTATAATCCTATTTTTATAATCTCTTGCAAAAAGATAGTCAACGTTACCGATTCAGTGAGCACATTTGCTTCATACCACTAAACTGGAGCCACATATTCTTTCTTTCGTTTCAATTCTAATTAATATCTATTAAGTAATGGAATGTTATGGTTGCTTCTGATATGTAAGTATATTTACATTTATTTATAGATATGTCATATTGTCAACCCCCAGATACGGGCGTCAAACGTTACAAATAAATTTTTAATTATTACTTCACAATCATTTGTTTTAAAGAGAGCTACAGAAAGAAACAATTAAGATCAAGCTTATATAATTGTGATTAAGACTTGAGCAATCATCAATTAAACTCAATGGTGTTCAAGTTCAATCGCATAATAATACAAGATCTTCCGAAGATGCAAACGCCAAATAGCGGTTTCCCTGATCGGTATCAGACTATCAGATCCCCTTTCTGACCCGAAAGGAGGGATCCGAAATAACAATCTGTGGCATGCCCTTATAACGAAAATATAATGAACATAAACACTCTCGAGAAACGACGCACTCATATCCTTAATTTCATGTTTCGAAAATCGGTGCAATAATAATGTAAAATAAATAATTTATAATTTAATTCTTAAGAAAGAATTTATATATATAAATAGAAACCTCAATACATAATTTATATAACTTTTTATATACTTTATAATTATTGACTTCTAATATACTGTTAATGTATAGTTTAAAATGATAGCCGCCAAGCGGTCAATAACCTAATTAAAGTGCTTAGATCATATATCTATAACGGATTTTACATCGACTTATCAGTAATCTATAGTTGTTGGAAAGTATATTTTTATTATCATAATCACTTTAAGGTGAAAGATATCTAGTATTCTTATCGTTCTTCATTTTATTGAAATTCATTTAACTATACAACAAAAAGATGAAATGAAAAATTAAGAATAGCAGCTGCTGAGTAAATTAATTAATTCATTAATTAGCTCAGCTTCTTTTCTCTCATTTTCTTTTCTTTTAACGTAACGTGCAATTACAAATAAAAGCGTAACGAAAGATAAGAGTCGTTTTTTCCCAAGATTGCTCATTTTATTATTTCTTTTAACCAAACACAAAATTACAAAAATAAACTATTAATTGAAAGTTAATTAGAAACTTGATTAAATATTGTCAGTTAAATATATGAATACACACATTCGCACATGTAATACGTATATACATACATCATACTATTAATATATATCCCCTGACTAGAAATAAATTAAAAAAAAAAATCTTTATGTCAACATCAATTTTATACAATGATGCGAACTACGTATCACATTATCGACACTGCTGATAAAGTTGTAGCGTCTAAAAATTGATGAAGTACGAGTCTCATCATCTAAATCGAAAATTGATGTTGAGCGCAAGTCCGCCTACATCACTTTAATTCGTAAAATTGAGATAAAATAAAATATTCTGTTTTTTTTTTATTAAGATAAAATAAAATATTCTAAATTTTTCTCAACTATCACAAACAAATTATTTGTGAAATAAATTTTATCCAGTTATAATTATTTTTGTAATCTCGTTCAGTTTTGCGTCTCTTAAATACTTAATTTTAAAACAATACATTATACAAAAAATGATTCCAATAATTTACGATACGAAGAGATATTTTTATTAATATAAAAGAAACATACAACGAAAAACGTTAAAAAAAAAAATATTTATTCAATCTATTACATGTTATTATCAAGAAACATGGTATCTCGCGGCAAATGTACGTGGGACAACAGCTATAAAACAGCGCAGATATCTGTACGGAAGTTGTTTAGTTGAACTGAGTAACATGATTATCACAGATCTTAAAAATAGACTGGAGAGAGAGACCGAGTTAGTTTATAAATTATTATATATATAAAATTATGTACATGTGTGTATAAAAGTTTATAAATTATATTATTAGTTCCATCGAGATTATTGATTACTTCTAATTATCCTGCATTACTTGTTTGATAAAATCCATAAAGTGGCTTACTCTGGTAAAAACATCAGGAAAACCAAGTGCACAAGGTTTTGTCCATGAAAATATACCTATTAATATACCATTATGTACCAAAGGATTGCCACTATCGCCCTGCGAACAATATTCTCTTTCAATTGGCATTTTAATAAAATATA